CAACTGTCTTCTTTTAAAACTAAAAGTTGCTCCATAAGTTTACTGAAAATGTGTGGGCATACAAGTTATAGGTAGGTGAACTGACCTGTGAAACACTCTTAGGATTGAATACAAACCATGCCCTTGGGGAATCTGGGGGACAGTTTACTGCCACTAACTAAACCAAGACCCCCAAAACAGCAAAAGGGCATCAACTCCAACAATGGCTCTGAATTGCTCCTTGGGCCTGGCATACAGCGGGGCTCCCTAAATTATTTGTTCAGCCAATGAAGGAATGAGGCGTAACTGCAAAGGTATTGCAGAGTTCACCAACAGGAACTGACGGATGGACGTCCTCTCCTTAAGGAGAAAATTCAGAAATACAGTGGCTGGAGGGGCTGTTTGATGAGGACAGTGAAGAGATGGGATTCTCCCTGGGACTGAGCAGAGGAAACAGGCCTGGTTCACAGAGGAAACAGGCCCGGTTCACAGAGGAAAGGTTTTAACATTTCACGGGCTCTGTGCTCAGACTCAAGTATGTTTTTCTCCAGATTCCACATGAGTGAGCTGGAAAGGGCCGGGGCTCTGGGGTCAGACCCTACCACGTTCAAAGTCTGGTCCTGGGTTCACCAGCACTGTGACCCTGGGCAAGGTGCTTACATCTCAGTTTCCTCACAGGTAAAATGAGCAGTTTGAGCAAAAGCACACCAACCACCAGAGAAAGGCTGAATTGAGTCGGCCGCGGGGCTGAATGGGACAATCACTGAGTGCCGGTGGGGTTAGCAATGGTAGTGGCCGCCTCGTCTCCGTGAGGGGAGATGAGGTGGTTGAGTCAGGAGAGGTGGCAGGGTTAGTTAGACGTGGCAAGGCCGGGAGGGGGTGGGGGGAGCAGCGGCTGACCAGGGGAGACAAACATTTCCTTTGGCCCCACGAAGACCACACAGAACCGTCCCAGGAGGACCGTACCTGGCAAACAGCTCCTGGAGTGTGTCTGGGATTTCGAGGTTAGGATCCTTCAGGGATGAACTGAACTTCTCTTTAATCTTCTCCACGAATTCTTTAAACTCGTTGGCACAAACCTTTGAACGTGAGAGAAGGAGACGTTAAGCCCTTTCTCTTCCCGAGGGGAGCTTTCGCTAAGATACATCAAGGAGGATCCTGTAACAAACTCCAGCTGCCGTGACCTCCCAGAAGCATTAAAGAGAAATGCTGTCACCTCTACCTTTCTGCCTCCTTTCCCAGCCCAGCCCGCCGAGTCCACCCGGGAAGAAGATGCTCGGCACAGAGTCATGACCGGAGCACCTGGTGCCGAGCACGCCGGCAGCATGCCCACCTGCACCGCCAGCTCTCCTCCAAACTCCTGCACAGTGTCCACAACACCCAGCACACCACGTGCCCCCATCCGTAGGCCTGGACTCCCCCACCGCCCTTCTCCCAGGTCTGCTCCTCTTTGGCTCACCTTGCGTGAATCCGTCTCCTTCCCTCCTCCCTGCATCCCCTACCCAGCCGTGGACTCCCAATCGGCACCCCCAGCACCCCTGCACCACGACCATCCCAGTCCAGATCACATCACAACACAGCCTCGTCACCGCCCCGCTGTCTGCAGTCTCACCTTAGTTTATCCTCCGTGGTGTGGCCAGCACACCCATCTCGTGTCCCAAACAGGAGGACCGACTGCACCTCCTCCCGACACCACACCCACAGGCCACCTCACACCCCGTCTTCACAGCCTCGGCCTCACGGCCCCTCTTAGGAGTCTGGGTTCGGTGCTGACACCTTTGAAAAGCCCTCCATGGCAGATGCTCTTAGTCGCCTGCTTCCTCCATCCCTTCCTTTCTCAGGAGTGGAGCCAGCCCTGACTTGATTTGGGGAGAAGCACGCCCAGCCCACCTGGCCGTGCCTATGATGGCAACCTCGGGGGCTTTGGGAAAGGCTGTCCCCTCCCTGATATGAAGGCCCAGGGGGGCTCAGTGCAGCCCCCCTCCCCACCTCTTCCTGCTCTCGGATCCTGCTGTGAGGACCTGAGCTCCAGCCGTCCCCAGCAAGCACCAGGTGACCGACGAGAATGGACAGCTGACTGCTAGGGGCGGGCAGTGCAGTGACAGAATGGGCCTGGGTCCTTGATGGCACCTCTGCTTCACTGCACAGGCCCGGACTGCCCACCTCAGGGCTGCTCGACATATAAAACGGAGCCTCATGTCCGTGAGGTGGTTTTACTGTCACTTGCATCACAGGCACTCCTGGCACTGCCCCGGGACCTCAGCGGCCTGTGCTTTCCTCTCTCAGCTGACTGCATTGTTCTGGGGGGCTCATCGCCTCCTCTGCCTGGCCCACTGCCCTGTGGCTCTGAGGGAAGGGCTAGCCTGGCGTGAAGCTGACACACACGGAGCTGGGAGCAACATTAGCTCAGGGAGAGAGGACTGAGTGGACTTGGAGCCAAAAAGCCGAGGTAGCTGGGTCTGGAAACACAGCTTTCTCCCTCGTCAGCCACCGTCCCAGCCCCCTCTGGACAGAAAACTCAGAATCCCATTCTCCACCCAAGATTTCCAGGGAGTCTAGCTGTTTTAAGCGTCTGAAGAGCTGTACTATTTTCTTAACAAAACAGGTTCAGGGCACAGCAGCCTTGCAAAGTAGCACATCAAATTCTACTCATGTTTTAACCCTAACCCTAACCCTGTCCCTAACCCTAACCCTAACCACTGCCCCCCCGCCCCCAAACAAAAAGAAATTCTACTCATGTTTAAAAACTAAAAGCTGGAGCCAGATCAAAGCCAAAGAACTGATAAGTCCATTCCCCAAATAAGCAGGAGAAAAGCCCGTGTTTGTAAGGCCAGCAGAGGCACCATGAGACCCAGGGGACCAGACCGGAACCGAGAAAACCCTGTCTCCAGAGCAGGCGGGGAGCCTGGCCACCATAGGGGACCTACCTTCGGGTCTGTATAGTCACATTTCCTGTTCATGAAATCTCCGACAAGGGCCTTGTCCTGGTACACCTCGGCCAGGCACACCCTGCAGAAAAGACCCCGTGGGGGTGGAGATTAGAGCGATGTCCACGCTCAGAACCAGCAGGGGCTCTCGGTGCTAACATCCCCAGCTTTGCCCAACCATGAAGCATGATTTACCCGTGTACCTGTTGTGTGATCACCGCTTTTACAAATGCAGGATCTGGGCTCAGCCAAAGCTGACCCGAGGCAGGCCTGTCACTGCGCACATGCCACCTATCGCTTGGTTTCTCTGAGATTCTGTCCTCCACATGTGAGCAGAGACTAGTAACAGCTTCCTGGAGCCTTGGCCAGGGCCAAATGAGACGGCTTGTGTGAAGGTGTATTGTAAATTTAAAAATATGATACAGGCACTGGTCAAGAGCGCTAACCTCCCCCACAGTGCTATCTGTCCGCTCTACAAATCCTCATATCTCTAGGATGTAAAGAAAGCCTGACTTGCCCAGAAGGAAACGGAGGGAAAGACAACCAGAACTGGCTGGGCTCCTGTGAGCTGGGCACTTCAGCCCCCACAAAGATCTTGTCAGGTAGAGGCAGCCATTCCCTGTATAACTCGGTGAGGGGAAGGGACCCCCGAGGTTACACATACGCCCAGGGCTGAGGCCGGCAGGGCAGCTGTGGTTCTTATCAGTATTATTATTATTATCCTGTCTGCAGGGGCGAGGACAGCTCCTGAGTGGACGAAGCCCAGGTCCTGCCCCACAGCTCTCAGCTGCAGTGAAGAGGGGGACCCAGGCCTGTGGTCCTGCAGACGCCCAAGTTCACTGCCCTGGGCTGCTGCGGAACAAGAGGCAGAGCGGCAGGCAGGGAACCCAAGTTCCATATGTCCCTTCACTGCCAACTCACTGTCACCCCAGCAAACTTGCCCTCTCTCCCTGGGCCCGTTTCTCCTCTGAAAAAAGAGGAGTCGGGGATCAGAATTCTTTCCGATCGAAAAGTTTGATTCTATGCACAGAGGACAGTGGCTTCACATGGGAAGGCCCCTTGGTATGTGTCACTTAATGGTTCTCAACTGGGGAGATGTGGCCCCCCCAGGGGACATCTGGAGACATTTTGGTGACACGTGGAAGGGGTGTGTGTGTGTGCTAATGGCATCTAGCGGGCAGAAGCACCCTACAGTGCACAGGAAGCCCCCACAGTAAAAAACCACCTGTCCCCAGTGCTGAGGCTAAGAAACTCTGGCTACAGGTGAGTTTCCTCCACAATCCAGGGCTGGGCCGATTTCTCCCTAGTCTGGCCGGGTGCGGGCAGTTCACGGCACAGAATCAGCCCGGAGCCGTGCTCTTCTGCTGATCCCGGCAGGGATGACCAGTTGGTGAGGGCGCTACTTCCCAGCCCTGCCGTGTGTCCCCTCCTGGCTTTACTCCTGGCCGCCACACATGGGCACCTCCCCCAACATCTGGATGGTCCCTGGTTCCCCAACTCAAGCACACGCCCATGGGGCATCTGGAGAAGGGGGACGAGTGGCAGAGCTGGCGATGGCTTTTGGCCCCGGCCCTGTGAGGAGATGGGGAGGGCGGTGGGCAGCCTCGCTGGCAAAAGACAAACCACAGGGGGATGCTTGGTGACGCGACCAGGGGACACCCAGCTCTGAGTGCGTTTGGTCCAATGGCCCTGGGCCTGTCCAGCTTGCTCTTGGAGTGAGGGGTGTGTCGGGTCACAACTGCGGACATATCAAGAGCTGCTCTGGCGCATGTGACATGCGGCAGGCCACAGGCCTATGTAGAGCCAAGGAGAGCAGCACCTGCCCCATGAGGACGCCCCGACATCTAGATTACACCTTGCAGGAGAAAGCGCCCAGAATCATGCCCAGCCCTGTCAATCAAGCACGATGTCTCCAGTAAATACCAGCCCCTGGACAGGCAACACGGAGGGCCCTGTCTGGGTTTCACAGCGGCCCCTTAAGCAAATGCGGCAGAAGAATGAACGAACTAGGAGCACTGGCATACCCTGGGGCTATGAAAATCCACGCAAGACTTACTTGTAGTTCAGATAGGCCTGTGGGTTTCTCACGATGTAGCGAGCTCGCCGCCCCACCGAATGTGAAGTTTTATCCAAAGACTCTTCAAAGGTGGCGTGTAAAATGTCCCGCACCACCTGCCAGGGGACGAACGGGCCCTTCACCTGGACCAGACACAGAGCCAAGAATGGGACGTGAGTCTCCTCAGAGCCCAGGCCACGGTCACTGACGCGAAGGGGCCAGGAAACGTGCCGTGGGGCACCTCCGTCAGCAGATAATCTAAGCTGCCACCTCACGTGTTAGCTCCGTCACATTACCTTGGCACTGACGGGGTGCTGGGCAGAGGATGGGAGTCCCGTGGGAAAGGGGTCTTCTGACAGGTAAGGGGAGTGCCCAGAGGTGCCTGGGGAGTGCTACTGGAGAGGTTATGAGTGTGTAGTGAGGTTTCACAGGCTTCACTGCAGGTCACGCATGCCCAGAAACCCTGTATGCTCCCTACTGCGGCTGTACGTTACACCAGCAGAGGCAGCATGGGCTACATTAGCCGACTCAGGGGAACACCTCAGTCACACACACACCGGGAGACAGAGCCGAGCTAAGGGAGGGGCTGATGACAAGGTGGTTTTCTCAGAGCGCCAGAATGGGCGGTGAGAATATGGTGTAAGGAGTGTGGAGGGTCTGCTGACCCTGAAGGTGCAGGACTTTCCTGGCTCCTCTGTTGCACCGAGGGTGGGAGGACGGAGACCCCCCCGCTTCGCCCACTGCTGTGATGAAAAAGCCATTGCAGAGACGGGAACGGAAGCTGGGGACAGCCACACTCACCTCCAGGTCTGCCTTGGAGAAGGGACTGGGTAGGGGTTAGGAGGGGTGAGGGGTGAGAGATGCTGAGATAATGATTAAGAAAAGGGATCGAATGGGCCTGCAGCCAAGGACACCCTGGCACGGGACGTCTAAGTGGGCTTGTCTTGGCCACCATGACTGAGAACCAGTGACGGGGCCCTTACGAAGCTGCCTCCCCTGCTCTACCTGGGAGTTTACACCTGCAAGGGGGCCCTGGCTGGGCGACGGCAGAGCTCACTCTCCCGGTAGCTTCTGCAAACCAGCTTGGTGGGGCATCAGCCCACCTGGAAGGCTGTCCGCATGCCTTGCTGCAAACTGAGACGATCAGAGCAGCAGAGGTGGCGAGGACACATAGTCCTGGGGTCAGTGAGGCTGCTCTGGGGACCGCGGTGAGGAGGGGGGTGCTGGCTCAGGCTCTGGAACCTTCTTGGGGCAGTGACATCAGAGGAAAGAGGGAGGGTTTGCCAGACTGGGAGCAAGTCCCTCTCCACCCACCAGGATTCAGGGACACTGGCCAGGAAGACACACGAGGGTGGGAACTGGGGTATGACAGGTGGCGGAGGAACCTCCACGAGAAGGCAGGAGAGCCAGGCTGAGGCCACGGCGCCATTCCATGCAGACTCGGTACATTCCGGTTGACGGGCACTAGGAGGCTAGGATGCTCGGGGACGCAGCACGGAAAAATAAGAAAGCTCTTTGTCTCGAGGAGCAGCCACTCCAGTGGGCCAAGAGGTGCCAGGGGCAACAGAAGCAGCGAGAAAAGTGTGGCCAAGGGGCAGAGTGAGGGCATGGTCATTACTGCCATTTGGCAGGATTGGGGAGGCCTTTCCAGAGACGATAAGCAGTCCCTGGAAAGGGAAACCGAGTGGTTCAGGCAGATGGGGGTGGGACAGGGAAGGACAGGGTGAGGTTTCTGGTGAACAGAGAACAGCTCTGGACGCCTTTGCCGGCGGCTGGCCAAAGACTCACTCGTGTTAGCTGAAGGCTGGAGAGCAACGTGCCCCAACGGGAACGGCATGAATTTGTAGGGTTTGGGGACATGCTTTCCCCAGGGTCCCAGGGGAGTAGGTGAGACGCGGGGCCCCAGGACCCCAGGCCTCCTGTGTGGGTGGGGCAGGACAGAGCTTAGCCCACTGGCTGGGGGCTGGGAGCAGGGGACCTGGGCGGCATGTACCTTGGTGTTGAGGATGTTGCTGGCGATCCGGCAGAGCATGAGCAGGCCGTCCTCCCGCATGGACCAGGTGACACGCAGCCGCGTCATCCGCTGCAGGGCGCTCTGGTCGGCCTGGTCGTGGTAACGCGGCTTTTTGTTCTTTTCTTCTGGGAGCTCTTCTGAGGACACCAAGGGCAGAGGGGAGGGGCGTCAACAGCTGCTTGGGGGATGGCCCTCTGGCTGGGGGGGGCGGGGCCCATGGGGACAGGGAGTACGATCTGACCCAGGGTGCCAACTATCAGAATCTCATCGTCATGCCTGGAATCATGTAAACGAACCACAAAAGACAGCCCCTTCCCGACAGACTGTTCTTTACCCCTCTCATCATTTCTCTTTGGTGGAACCTCACAGTGATGGGCGGAGCAGGCTGAATGCAGCCCCCCCACCCCGTTAGTTATCTGCTAATCTCCAACCCTTCCTTCTGTGGGGCTCAGCCCCTGAAAGGTGCCTTCAGGGCAGCTTGTCTCAGGGCACATGTGCCCAATGAGTGGCCTCCCCCTGCTCTGTGAGCTCAGAGATGCTGGGTGAACCCTGGTGCACCATGAGGACAAGACCCCACCCTCCAGGGCGACCTTGAGGACCCAGAACACCTAGTGAAGCACCTGGCACAATGTAGCTGCTAAACAAAGAGTAACAGTTGCTAATGTTATGGAATTTTTACTATGTGTCAAACACTGGTGTAAGCTTTTTCCATATACTAACTTATCATTAAAATAATACTTCGTAACAACCCTACGAGAAGGATGTAGTTATTATCTTCATTTTGTAGCTGAGGAACTGGAAACCCAGAAGGATACTATAAGTAGCAGACAAAGGATGTGAACTTGAGCTCTTCACCGCTGGTTTTTTCAAGGTCTCCTCCCCTCAGGGGAGGTGTGATGGCGGTTTCACGAGGCAGACACCACACGCTACTGCCAATTCCACAAGACTGTTGAGGGAGCTTCTCCCAAATTAAGGCAGAAGAAAAGCAGGGCAGGAAAATGTAGACTCAGAGACACCACCACCACATTTTGCCTTGTAACGAATTCAGCTCTTTGTAAGCCAAATTGATCTGATACATATCTGGGTTAGGCTAAGCTCAGGGGGCCATCGCAAGGCTATTTGTTACAACTACCAGCCAAATAAACCACCAAACCAGGGTCGTGTTGAAACATTCTGTTTCCATCTGAAATAGCTACCAGATCGTTGTTAAAACACACAGGCCACTTAGGTGATATAAAAAGTGGCCTAAAAAAGACACCAGTCCCCTCCCTCGCCCGCTTTCTCCCCTCCTTCGCGATAAGTCTGCTCAGATGAAGGATCCAGAATGGCGACCTACAAAGCACCACGCCTGAGAAATGAAGGGATTCTGTAGGTTTAAACGAGACTCCTGTCTTTCCTCTCATTTAAAAAGGCAATGAGGGCGGCTGGTTAGCTCAGCTGGTTAGAGCCCAGGCTCGTAACACCAGGGTTGCTGGTTCGATCCCCACATGGGCCAAGGAGCTGCGCCCTCCACAACTAGAGTGCAACAACTACTTGACTTGGAGCTGATGGGTCCTGGAAAAACATATTGTTCTCCAATAAAATTAAAAATAATAACAATAATAATAGTAACAGAACCCAGCCAAGAAGCATCATTCCTCCTTTAAAATAAACATATAAATAAAAAAAAATAAATAAAAAGGCAAAGAGCCTCAGACTCTGGCCTCATTCGCACAAATGTAGATGTTAAAAGGCACACCAAAAGAATAATGGGATTTGGGATGGTGATGAGGAGGATTTTGCAGGATTTTGCTAAGGTTTTCTTCAGCTGAGATGCAATTAGCAATTTTCCTGAAGGAGTTATTAAGCGAAAAGGAAGCCGTAGGGGGCGGGCGGGGGAGAGGGAGCCCACAGTTCAAATATCTCTGTCTGCCAGCTGGATTTGGAAGCTAAAAGGGCAAGCACCCAGAGTCAGCTCTCTAAACTGAGGTGGAGTGGAAACCCGAGTCTGGGGCAGAGCTCGGGCATGGCGGTGGCTGAGCCAGACCGTGCGAGGCACAAAGGAACAGCGTGTCACCTTTTTTCTTTCTTTTGGTCTTCTTTGCGGGGTCCTTCTTCAGCCGTCTCCGCTTCTGGCTTCGCCCACCCCTCACTCGCCGGTTCCGGTCCAGCGTGGGCTCTCGGCCAACCTCGCACTGCTCGTCCCGGTCAACACAGAGCTCGGCTCCTGCCCTGGCTTCTCCCCAGATGTTCAACCGGCCACTGCCTAGAGACGAGCAAGTGTTTCACGATGAGCCCTCCAGAGGCCAGCAGCCGAGTGGACTGTGTGGGGGTCACGCTGGCCCCAAGCTGGTGCCACGTCTGGTCCTGGGTGGGCTCCGTACCTCCAGCTCCGAGGGGCAGCGGGCGCTTGGACAGGAATGACTGCAGCCTCACTGTGAGGCCATTATCGGAAGCACTGTTCTCCTGGAAGACAGAACGGCACCAGAATGAAGCATGGGGTTCTGCGATGCCCCAGGAGCCTAGAGCTGTGGACGCATGGAGATGTGCGAGGGTCTGAGGGAAGATGCCGAGGTGGGCTGAGCGGTGATGGCCGAGAAGCTGGCAGGGCTACTCTAGGGACGGGTTCCTCTGTCTAGGCACATTTCTTATTGCCCACGCTTTCTCTCTAGTATGGCCTTTGCCTCAGACTTTCCATTCCTTCTTTTTTTTTTTGAACTGAGCCATCCTGTCACCTGTTGACAGCTCAGCAGCAGCTCAGCTAGTGCAGGGAATCGAACCAGTGACACTGTTGCTCAGCTCGCACTCTTGAGCGAGCTCTTAACCAACTAAGCCACTCAGCCGGCCCTCCATTCCTTCTTTAAAAAGGGACACCTCAGGCCGGCTGAGTGGCTCAGTTGGTTAAGAGCATGAGCTCTAAGCAACAGGGTCACCAGTTCGATTCCCACATGGGATGGTGGGCTGCGCCCCCCGCAACTAGATTGAAAGCAGCGACTGGACTTGGAGCTGAGCTGCGCCCTCCACAACTAAGACTGAAGGACAACAACTTGGCTTGGAGCTGATGGGTCCTGGAAAAACATAATGTTCCCCTCCCCAATTCCCCAATAAAAATCTTAAAAAAAAAAAAAAAAGACACCTGCTCACATCACAGAGTACGTTAGAATCAGCTGAAAACAAAACAAAACAAACAAACAAACAAAAACACAGGCCAGGCAGATATTTAAGGGTCCTGATGTACCTTCCATACAAATGGGAGTTAATGTTTGTGTTTCTGGTCAACTTTAATTTAACCAGTTCAGGAACTGGGAGCGGGGAAGGGCATGGAAGCTTAGCCATGACGGCAGCCCCTGCGGGGGTGGCCTGGGTGTGGACACCCACCCCTCCAAGGCCCACCTGCTTGGTCTTGTTCATGAGATAGCTGGTCCAGATCCAGTTGCGCTTCAGGTGTGCGTAGAAACTGGAGTCGAGCCCCGCAGCTCCCAATCCGTCTCCGGGGATCAAGCCTTCATCCACGACCTCACGGCTGCCCCTGAGAGATGGGAAAGAAACAAAAAAGAGCCCCCTCAAGACCAAAGAAGAGAGAGCCCTTGGGGTGGGTGGGGGCATTTTTCATAAATTTTACCTTCTTGGAAAAACACCTCAGAGATATAAGTGATGAACTTATCAAAACCCCAGATTTTAATGTGAAATTCCCAGGTTTTGAATTTTGGCAACTGATTGATTTTTTTTTAAAACAATCTATGGGCTGAGATATGTCTGGGCCAGGTGTGGCCATTGGCCACCCATCTGCAGCCTCTACACCAGTGACTCAGGCCCTCCCAGGGTGACATCGCAGCCCAACACGGAGAAGCCGAGGTCCCCACATCCGGGGACTGACAGGCGTCTGGGGCCGGCTGGGCACGCACGTGGTGTACTCCAGCATGGCACACTTGCGCTCCAGGTTGTGCCTGAAGATGGCGCTCTCCTGCTCCTTCTGCAGGCTGTCGTCTTCGTCGCTGGCCTGGCCCGCGCTGCTGTTCTTCTGCGGACGCGAGTAGCGCACCACGCCTGAAAAAGCAAACACAAGCTCCCCTGTGACGGCCTCCTGGTGATGGTCTAACAGGCCATGTGTGCTGGTGGGCGGGCGGACAACAGCGGATTCCCTGTCGGTGCCCAGGCATCCCCTCGCCAGAGGGGAGGGTCTGACACTGGGAGGACCTCTTTGCACAAAATGCCTTCTAACAGGTGTCAGTGAGCAGAAGGAAGCAAGTGATACACTGGTGGGTGGACCTGTGCTCCATTAAGGTGGGAGGGCGGGCAGGCAAGTGGAGAACCCAGCAGGCTCAGGGGGTCACGAGCCCAGGAAACTCGTGCCTTCCTTGCTAGGGGAGCCCTGTGGAGATGCTGTGTGCCAGCATAGAGGAAGCGATACATGAGAATGATGGCACTTGGCTGGGGCTGCAGCGGTCAGGGTGGGCAGGGATCTGGGCAGATCGCGGAAGTGTCCGTTTCCCTGTGAGCAACCAGACGTCTCCTGAGAGCCTGAGAGGGGCATTCATTTAGTCGGGCAATTACGTGCAGTTACTAGTCGTCAATAAAGAAAACCGCGTTTCTTGCAAGAAAATAGAAGCTACTACTAAAACTGCTGCTTGAGTGAGGCAAAGAGAGGTTACAATCATTTGCAGGCTCTCAAAGACGCTCTCATTAACACGCTCGTCTGGAGACCTGGGCCTGGGTGCGGGCAGAGGCGGAGGGAAGAGGCCGTGCCCCCCACCTTTCAGCTGGAGCTTCACGACCAAGCTTCGCCTCAGCCCAGAAGGCGCTGGTGGTGTTCCTGGCTTGGCAATGAAGAAATGAAGGCTCAGGAGGTGACAAAGAGCTGGCCCAAGGCCACGCACGCGAAAGGACAGTTGAGCCTAAGGAGGACTTACGCTTCTCACGCGCCCCACCTGCTGCCTGTCAGAAATGTGGGCTGAGGCAAGGCCGAGGCCTGCTGTACTCGCAGTCGGGCAGGACCCAGGAACACGCACTTCAGCCGGCTCCCTCCTCCGTGCTGCCCACGCGGGCTCCCTTTCTGGGGCCCTTGCCTTAAGGGACACTCATGTCCTAGTCCTTGTACACGATGTGTTTCTCTTGGTCCCTGGGGCAGAGCCCCTCAAACCTTTGCTGAACAAAGGGACCGTCTAAGGCCTGATTAGTGGACTCAGGAAGCTGCCCACATTTCTGCTCATGAACGCTAAAAGGCATGGAAATTTAACGTCAAGCCTGAGAAACTTTGGCGCGAATAACGTACTGGCTCACACATTTTTATCCAGGTAGAAAATGCAGGGGAATTAGGGCACTTTGGAAATCGGACCTGGTAAAGCCTCGCTCACTCATGAATGCTGGAGGACTCTGTGAAAAGGTTCTACATACAAGTGCTCGCTATCCTGAGACAGTAAATGATTCTGGCAGATAAATACGGGACCCCCTGCTGTGCAAACATCCAAGTGTTGGACTGATCTCAGCTCTGGGACAGAAGGAAGAGGATCAGGGTCCTCTTTCAGGTGCAAATCGGACACGTGTCCTTTGTCTCCTGGTAGAAGTGGCGAGAAAAGGCCTGAGGAAAACTGGCTGCCCTCGAGGACAGCACCCTGGAGCTTCCACACACTCTCCACCACCGCACCCACATCTGTGGGCGTTGACTGTGTGCCAGGCACTTGGAGACACCACGGGGACAGAAGCCAGGTTTCCTGTGCTCAAGAAACTCACAGAATGAAACGAGATGACGACAGTAAAGGTGCTGGAAAGGCTTTCTGGAAGAGGTGATGCCTGAAGTAGGAGCGGCCACCCTGGAGGTGAGCATGGGTCAGGGGACACTCCGGAGAGAGGAAAACCACATGAGCAAAGGCCTAACCCGAAGCCCAACTCACCCTCCATCGCTAAGTCTGTCAGGTCTCCCTCCCAGTTCCTCCCAACCTGCCTCCTGTCGCCAGGGGGCGTCTCTCGGACATGAGTCACAGCCCCTAACTGGCCTCCCTGCCTCTATTCTTGTGCCCTCAGCCCGTTCTCCACACAGCAGCCAGGGCGAGCTTGGAAAAACATAAGCAATCTCCTTACCCTTTGCTTACAGCCATGCAATGGCTTCCTGCTGCTCTGAGAACCACCCCGAACTCCTCAGCACGCTCGGCCAGGCCCCCCGAAGCTGGCTCCTGCCCACTCCGCAATCCCAGCCGCCACGCTCCTTCCCACCCATGCCAGCCACACTCGGGGACTTTGCACTTGCCACTGCCCCTGCTGGGACATTCTCCCCAGCTCTGGGCACAGCTGGCTTGGCCTCCGCCTTAGAGCTCAGCTCCAATGTCTCCTCCTCAGAAAGGCTGCTCCTGACCACCCCATGCAAATGCCCTCGGCTTAGCCATCACTCTGTCTGTTTTATCCACAGCACACATCACACTCTGGGTGTGTATGTGTGTGTGTGTGTGTGTGTGTGTGTATGCGTGTGTGTCTCTTCTCCATGAGCACCGGGTCCCATGAGAGCAGGGACGGGGCGTGTTCCCATTGCTTGTGGTCAGGCACAGGAAGTGACCCACACAAGGGTGTGCTGAATAAACAAGTAAATAAAGACCGCGTGGAGCTGCCTGGGCTACAGGGGCTTGGGGCTGGGAGCCCCCCCCATTGAAGGCCCACCACTCTCCTTTCTAAGGGAGCCCCAAGGACATGCTAGGCCTCTGGAGAGCAGCCTGAAAACCGCAGGCAACTTCTCATCTCCTCTAGCACTAATTCCACTCATCCCATAAACAGGAGGGAAACTGGTCCACAGAGACAGATGGTACCTACCTAACGGGGTGTTGAGGCAGACGCACTGCAGATCAAACCAAAAGTTTTCCACATCCTGCATTGAGCTCAGGACATAGAGACGCCTGTCGAAGGGCCGGCTGCTGTGGGCGAGGTTGTAGTGTGGGTCACAGATGGTGGTGTCCATGATGACTGCATTCTTCTTCAGGAAAACGAAGACCTACAAGAGAGACAGAGAGAGCTCAGTGGGCGAGGGGTCGGACTGGGCTCAGCCGTCTGCAGACTGCTTGGCACTCAGGACCGCCTCCCCACGGGGCTCGAAGGATGTTACCTGATCTTTATCCTGAAACCTTTCAGTGGGACCAAAATGCAGCAAGCCCATGTAGCAGAGCCTCTGAAGAGCCTCCATCACCGAGAAAATGTACCGTCTGGAGAACAGAGCGGAGGGGCTGCGGTCAGGGGCTCGGCGTCGGGGCCGAGGACGCGCCGCCTCGCGTACTCGCCCCCTTCTACCTGGTGGGGCCTGGAGAACGGGCCTCGGGCCTGCCCGATGCTGAGGCCCAGGACCCCACTTGCCACACCCAAAAGGGGCAGCAGAGCACGGATCCTACAAGGGGGGGCTTGGTTTAGAAAAGAAAAGCAATAAAAGGACGAAATTACGCCAATACCTTCAGTCTTTATCAGCGGATTTGACCTTTTTTTTTAATTATTATTTTTTATTGTGAAATACAGTTTTTAGAATTAGTTTCAGCTGTACAACACAGTGCAATAGTTATACTTTTTACCCCTCGAAGTGACAACCCCCCTCCTCCGGATTTGACTTTTAAAGAACCTTGAAATCAAGTGATAAAATTTATCAGCCCATACACTTCATTTGCCCCTGGGCTAATTTATCTAGAAGGCTCACAGGTGGCTGAAGGAATGACAACCTTGCGTCTCTATACTAGGAAAAAGCAGGGACCTCTCTTTGTTTTGGGGAGCCTTTAGTCAGGACCTTAAGTTTGAGGCCTGCTGGGATGTCAGCTGCCCTGCGTCTGTTTCAGGGGCCTCACCTCTTGTATAGAAGCTGCTGCCGGACGGGCCTGGGGAGGAAGCGGATCAGCGTGTGCTTCTTCAGGGGGTCGTCCAGAAACTCCAGGAGGTTGTCTACCTAAGAGGGGACGTTCAGGGTCAGCTCACCCTCACATCAATTCACGCCGGAGTGAATTTCAAGCATTGTGAAAAAAACACTCAACACTATCTTCTGGGCTGCAACCTGTCTGAACCCGCCCACCAGCCCCATGGTGACAGCACCCCCTTCTTCTGCACCCTCTTTTTCCTGCCCCCGGCCTTCCACACCTCTGCTTTCAGTCTTGTCACCCCTCCTCTCCAGCCCATCTGCCACACTGCTGGGTCCATCAATGGGTGCCCTCATAGGCTGCTGGTGGGCACACATATTGCTAAACCATTTCTGGGGGATGATATGGGAGTATATTTATTTATATTTTAAAAAACAATGAAGAAGGCTCATTCCCTTCGAAGCAGTGATTCTATTTCTATCCTTACCACAAAGGAAAAATTGGGGAGCTTCCCACCAACAGGCCTACCAAAAGGTAGTTATCACATGTCATTTGTATAATAACACTAAGAAACCAGGACTCAAACGTCCAAGAATAGAGTGTGGGTTCAATAAAATAGGGCACATGCACAAGAAGGAATACTATGAATTTACTTAGTATCAAGTTAAAACTTAATGAAGTGGAAAATACAATATATTGTTCAGTGGAAATAACAAATAATAAAACAGTAAACATGGTATAGTCTCAATTCAGTTTTTTAAAAAAGGAAGATCTCACACACACACACACACACACACACACACACACACACACAGAGGCATGCACACACAACAAGGCAAAGGAACTAAAGGCTAGAAGAAAAGGTACCAAAACACTAGCAGTGATAGCTCTGAGTGATGAAGTTATGGGTAAGTTCTATTTTCTCCTTTTTCTGTACTTACCAAATTTCTAAAAACATATTTTATTGTTACATCATAATTATTTGTCTGTCTTTCTGTCTTCTCAATGATGTATCTAGAACAAGTCTTTGAAACATTTCCTTTGACCTACCAACCATTCTTTCTATCTATCTATCATCTATCTCATCCCCTCATTCCTTCCATCCCTCCCCCATCCGTCAATCTATCCCCCATCCATCCATCATCCATCTATCCCCCATCCATCCATCATCCATCCATCCGTCCATCATCCATCCATCCATCCATCCCCAACCACCCATCCAGGCAACCACAAGTCTCGACGTATTTGCCTGACCTCGTGAGCGCAGGCCCTGCAGCCTAGAGCTGAGGGACGAGCCCCTGTGACAGCCTGGGAGTCGCCAGTACCTTGTAGCTGACTTGCACAATCTGGATAAAGATGGAGAGGGGCAGGCAGAGGAGAATGTCGCTGACGAGGGCCCAGCCAAAGCCAAAGTCCTTGTGGACTGGGCTGGGAGGGACATAGCGCTTCCATGAGGCTTCGTCCACATAGACTAGGAGGAAAGCAGAGACAGGGTCCGAGTCAGGATGGTGACATCACCTTCCAGGAGGTCTTGGCGCCCTCTTACCACACTCTCGGACAAAAGCCTAGTTGCCAGGCAGGAAGCCCAGAGGTTCAGAACGTTTGGAGTGTGGCTTTATTTTGATCAGGCCAGCGTGGGGATTCCGCCAGCTTAGGCGATAAGGACCAGGAGCTACCACAGTGGCCTTCTGGATTCGCTGGTGCCTGCCCGCCTGCCCGCCCTGGGGCATCTCACCTGTCTCTGTGGGAAGCTCCAGCTCCCCCCAGATGGCTCCGTCCTGGCTGTCCTTAGGTGGGGCGCTGGAGGAGACCTCCAGGGCCTGTCCCGATGAGGCCGAGGCTCTGGTCCGGCCCAGCCCCTTCTTCCGGGTCCTGCTTTCACTGCTGACTCCAAGCTTCCTGGCAGGGTGCCCGTAGATCAGGTACCACAGAAACGTGTGGGCCACCCGCAGGCGAGGCATTTTGGGCAGAAACCCTAGAGAACGCCCCAGTCCAGGAACTGAGGCAAGAAAGGGGAGGGCAGTGCTTGAAAACTCCCCGGTTAACACCAGTTCAATCCATCCAAAAAACTACTGGGTGCCGCTATGTCCCAGGTGCCAGGGAGAAGGCAAATGCTCTCCTCATGGAAGTTCCTTTCTAGTGGGAAAGGGCAGACAATAACCAAACACCTAAAGTAATGCATCAGATGGAAACAGCTGGTGCAGAGAATAAAGCGGGGGGCGGGGGGGGGCTGAGATTCCACTCAGAGGCCAGGAAAGACCTCAGGGAGAGGCCCTGAGGGGCGTCCTCAGGCCGCCATGCAGCGGTCCGGGGCTGTCCCTCCCAGGGCAAACGGAAGGAGCCCGAGACGGGTGTGTGCCTGGCACATTCGAGGAAGGAACAAGGAAGGGTGTGCAGGTGAGCCCGACTGTGATGGGTAAGGGAGCCACAATGGAGGGCCTCACAGACCTCCACAGAGCACTCCTGGCTCAACGGCCCTGTGTAAAATAATCCAAAATCTAGGGTTCTCTTAAAGCATTCTAATAGCTTATTTCTTTGTTGATTCAGACCCAGTGTCCATTGCCTTTCCCCAGTGAGAGGACAGGGGAGGGACAAGAGAGTCACAGGAACAGGGCAGTCGGGACAGGTGATCAGGGGCCCCTCGTCCCCATCAGGCCCGGCCAGCTGAGGACATGCTCGCTGCCTGCTGTCTGCACGAGTGCGCGTGCTGCTCAGGTGCACACACTCGGGCTCAGGTCTCTCCTTCAGTCTGGACTTTCTAACTGTGAAACCTCGAGAGTCAAGGCCACACCTGTGTGACTGGAGCCCCCAGAAAGTGGCCTCCTCTGCCTGGAACCCCCATGCCCTGGTGAGCCAGCTTTCCCCTCCCCACCAGCACACACATTAAGGCCCGGAGAGGAGCAGAGTACTGGTTAAAAAGCCCTGCCATTCACACCTGCCCCGTGAGTTTACATCAGAGCGGCTTGGTGGGGAAGAGGGAGGCAGCAGCTCTGGTAGAGACCGATTCTGGGAAAATTATACGAACGCTCAAACTTGCCAAAGGCTGAAGCTACCAGAAGTCTTGTGGGGTCAGGAGAGGTACAGGTTTTCTGTGGTTTATGGAATATTCCAGCCCAAGGACATTCAGCAGACAGAGTGCATCTCTGTGAATAATTCCTCACATTGAGATCTGGCAAAATTTCATCTGAGTCTTGCAAGGAATATGCTGAGATATGCTGGGCAAACATCGCTCCTATTTTGCACAGGGAAACTGATGCTGGTGGGAGACATGTGACCTGCCCTCCGTGACCCAGCCCATAATTCAGACCTGATTCTGACTGCAGCCCAGCCTCAAATGTAGAAGAAAGTGACTCAAACAGCATCACGCAAGCAACACATGAAACGCAATCAGACATCGACGAGAAGCTGCTTTTTACCTATAACAGGGTTGTAATTTTTCAGCTGGGTTATGCCCATTTTCTCGTCGGTTTTTTTCACCCGTCCACTTTCTGATTTAGAGGAAGCGTTCGGCTGGGAGTCTCCTGGTCCGCGCGGGTCCTCTTTCCCTTGACTTTCTTCTTCGGCCTCCTCTTGAGGCGCTCGGGGCTGGGGCACTTTAACCCTGCAGCCGAAATACAAGACCGATACCACGTTGGGAGGACCAAGGCCTGAGAGAAAGGACAGGATCTGTCCTCACGAAAGAGATGAAGCCTTTTGGTCCTGAGGTTACAAACTCAACTGCTGAGACCTGGGGGCCAGGCAGGTGACGTCAATGGATAAAATGCTCCAGGTCGCTAGACATTTGGGGATGACGGAGACTGGTGACTTGGAGATGGAGAGGGCACCCCCACCTACGGCACAGCTGCTGCCTTGTGAGAAAGGGGAGCCCGATACACTCGGATCTTGGATACTTTCGTAAATGCCGGAAAGCAGGAATCTGATGCGAAATTAACGGATTCAAAGCACATGTGGCCAATGCGTGGCCGGCCACGCAAACCAGTGTCTGCAAGTGGGATGCAGGCCTGGGCACACCGCAGGCTGGCGCCTGTAAACCCTGCTGGGAATCCTCCCCCACCCCTGAGTTTTCTCAGTCCATTAGATGGTTTATGAATAAAATTAGAGAAGACCTCGGAAAGGCAACTTGAATCATTGTGAGCCATTATGAGACCGAGCAAATTTCACACATCACAAGGCCTGCGATTTGGAACGCTCTGTCCACAATTAGAAGAGAATTAAAGACGCAAGGATTTTCTTCTTCATCTTTTTTTTTTTTTTTGGATGTCGGGTCCGTACATATTCATTTTATTAAGAATGAATACATGAATGAGTAGAATAGGACACAGAAAGAAAAGGGTAATGCAGGGAACAAGAGGACACAGGCAGAAACTGGTCCTTGTTAGACTAGAACCGCAGACCCCACCAGTGAATTCACTGATCTCCCCGAGAGAAAACAAAGGGCTTTTGTGGGAGCGAGCGGCTGGGCCTCCGGAATGAAGACGCTGACCAGGCAGCTTCACGGGAGCCCTGTGGGTGCTGCCACTTGCCTGTTTGCTGTGCTGGAATTGGAGATCCGGAAACGAACCTGCTCAATGGCACTTCTCACCAGGGGGTCGTTCTGGTCCATGGAGGGGTGTACCACCAGGTCCACCTGCGGAAACAGCGGTGTCCCAAAGGGCGGGTGGGGGCGGGGCCGAGGGAGACCAAGCCCCACAGCTCACACCTGTTCTCATTAACATTTCCGAAAGAGCCTCGAGAGGAAGCCAAGTGTTTGCTGAACATTTGCCGTTGTTTTCTGGCATCAACATCCCTCAAGCGATAAAGCTCTGCCACCAGTAATGTGTTACTTCGCTCTAGTGAGGAATTCTGGCCTGGAAACAGCCATCTTCCCAGCAGCCCCTCACTGGGGAGTCATGGACCACTGGTCCGTCCAGGCATCTACCTGGTGGGCCGAAGCCCCACCCCCGCTATCTGAGACTTTTCCACAGTTGCTGGTGAGTCCTGAGGGCTTCCGTCTGGAAGAGGTAAGTGGATTTCATTAATCTCCCCTCCGCCGGGGGACTTGGGCCCACTTCTAAGCGAACTGGCAGAGGATTTAGAGCTGCTTTTGTTGTTTTACCTTTTCCAAGGTACTGAAGCTGCTCAGTTAGAGTGGTTCTCAGGTCATGAGAGAGAACGAGGGTGACAAAGGGAAATAATAAGTTGAGCAGGAAGCTGTGACAGCCCCGCAGTAGATGGCAGGCATGCCGGCCTGGGCCCCTGCAAAGCCAGGCTTCTGGCTTCTCTCTGTCATTGGCAGGAGAGAGGAAGGTAAGGGTTTCTAAACGGGTAACTCCAGACAGCAGGTTACGTGCCAAAAGGGCCCGAGAGAGGGCGGGTCCCAGGGAACAGGCACGACGCCTGGATGGGACTCCGAAGGGGGCCGGGGCTCAGTCCCTTCTTCCCCTCGTTTGTGAAATCAGGGCTCCTCCCCCATGCCTCGCCAACTTTTTTTATGGTTTTGTGAGGCTCCAAGGAGATATAGTTTGGCAACACCCAGAACATTTAAAGTGTGATGCAAATATAAAGCATTCCTATCTGCCCACTTTCCACAGCCAAACGGCCCAACTAACTTCCTGGAGGCCCGATAGACAGGGTGGCCATTGGGGGACGCAGCAGCCATGGAGGCTGCCTGCAGCAGCAGAGCTCTCACTGCCAAAAAAAAGTGCCGTAGAGACACTTAAGCTTATGCTGTAGGCAGGTGCACAAGTCTGCAGCCCTTCCCAGCTGGAAAAATGGGGTACCGCTTGGTGAACACCCCAGAGCTCAGCACCTTCATCTCTGAGGCTCTGTGATCCTGTTTGTACCTGAACCTGCCTCCCTCCCATCCTGCCTGGCAGATATGGGGCCAAACAGGTGCTGAGACATGGCGACACCTTTGCCTGACTGCCCCTCTAGACTCAGAGTCCGGGCCGCTTTTCCTGCCCTCCATTTCTGCCCCGCGAGGGCTGTCCGTCCCAAAGACCTGCTCTTTGAAGACCAACAGAAATCCGGGGTGTTGCAGCTGGTGGGCTGGGGTTTGTCCTTCAGTGAGACACAAGTACCTCCTGCCACTCAGTGATCGAGGGACGAGTGGCAGGCTGGCGGGGGACGGGAGGGAGCAAGCTCAAGCAGATAGAAAGTCTGATGAGCACTGCCGACTCGCAAGGATAGGAACTGTGTTTCTTAAGTTGCTTTTTGGACTGCTCTGTGTTTTTCAAATTTCAAATATCTTAATACATAAGATAAAGTTAAGAAACCAAAAATGACCTTGTCAGCTTATTAAGAAAACAAAACATAAAAGCAGAGCTTTCCTAAGGCAGAGATTTAAAGTGTAGTCAGAAAAAAAAAGGTCAGGAAATTACAAGTGACTGTCCCTTTGGTCCCAGCGCCCAGCTGGGCTCTCAGATGACTCTGACCCTGAAAAATGTAAGCCTTGGAATATGTGCAAAGCCGCTGAGCTACCATTGCTATGGGAATGGCCCCAAACTTTAAATTTTACGGAAACGGATAAATTGAGACAGAAGAGATAATACTGTTCCCTATCGGCGAACCCCAGCAGTGCATCCTAATTGAGTTGCTGCTGTCCTTTCCTCTGGGACCCGCTTCCTCAGATCTCTGTGGAAAATGTTCTTGCTGCTCAGTCTAAATTTCCCACCTCCTAAGTGCTGCTTCATTGCCCTCCGTGTGCCTCTGCTGGATGGCTGTCTCTGCCTCCCTTGCTTTCCCTCCTCTGGTTTGGGGCTGGCCGCCTGCCTTGGGCTGCGCTAAAATCCCAGTTCATTATTCCTCTCTTCTGTCTCCAGCTGCCCCAGAAAGTTGGGGTGATCCCTGTTCCCCAAATTAGTAGGCATAATGGGAAATTCTAAGTTACTGACAACAGAGGAACGACTGAGGTAGGACAAGGAGGGGGAGCGAGCCAAGGAGCCTCCCAGCCCCCCGCTGGCTGTGGCCTCGGGGGCCCGCGGGTACCTTCTTCTTGATGCCATCTTGAACGACCGTGGTCCGGTACAGTCGCAGGAGGCCTTCCTCAGACATGTTCTGCACCAGCCGCACGATGGACTTCTTACAGCACTTGGTGGAGACGCCTTCTTGCTTCTCCTGATCCATGATCATTTTCTGAATCCTGGGGCATCACAAAACAAGCAGTTAACATGTCCAGTCTCAGCACGGAAGGCCTTCCTCCACCTGGGCAAGCGAGAAGGGCCTAACAGTACCCAGCGGAAACCCGGGAAGCATGAAAAGGGGGTTCACCATCAGAAGGCCAACTTCTTGAGAGGTTAAAATTAAGGTCCTCTCTCTTTAGGATAAGTTAGTCAGCTAAAGATAAGCTACCACTTGCCGTGGGTTCCAATTCTGAGCTTTTCACCAGGAACTAAAGAGGTGACATGATTTGTGACAATGACAGCAGGGAACCTGAGTGCTATGATGGAAATCGCTCTTTACCACACATCTCCACGCCAATTTAGCATCTGCTAAGAATGGTCCCGTTTACCAGTCGACACCCTTAATCGGAAGCTCTTTGATTTTGTTCCTCGCACACCTCACTCTCTAGATCTTACTGAGTCACTACGGTGATGTTTCTAGATAGCCAATCGGAATGGCAGGGCCAGAAGGGACATTAGGACACCTAGCAGACCCCTCACTGCACAGAAGAGAGGCCTTCGGCAGCAGTATCTGCAGACGGCCTCCCCATGGCCTCGTTCGAGGCTGCTGCTAGTCAGGCGTCTCGCACGCTGGGTGCCTCCGTGGCTGCGGAGGTGCTGGCCGGGATGTGGCGGTGACTTGAGTTAGAAGGACCAAACCTCTGTGTGAAGAGAAGTTCTACCTGTGTCTCTTCTGTCTGGCTTTCACGTAAGGCTTCAGCTGACGACATCACCTGCCTAGGTTTCTTCTTATCCCTTTGCTACCACCAAATTCCAGGGAAGGCACGTGCCCTTTTCCCAGGACTCCTAATTCTCGCTCAGTCACCTCTCCCTGTTTAGAGTATTGATATTCCTCAATGTCTGCTCTTGTCAAATCACAAGAAGAAACTCGAATGTTTTCTACCACAAAGGGATGCCGAGAATCTACATGGAAGGGAGAGTCCGGTGCCCCTTGGTCCTTCCCGGTGATGACTGCATGACTGACTGGCACGAGGTGTGTCTTCAGTGCCTAGACCCAGACCACATGCTCCTTACGTGAACAAGCTCTCGATTAAGCGGAGGTTGGTGACGGCTTCTATGATAAGGTTCCTGCGTTTCAACAGCCGGTACGTTTCGTGGGGCTTGTCTTGGCCTGTGCCATGCTTCCCGGTCTTCTGGGAGCTGCCACCGTCCTATAACAGACCAAAGGCACAGGGACACCACCGGCTCAGCACCATTTGGGGCCCCGACACTGCTCTGCAGTGCAGGCCCCCTCCCTGGGGAACTTCTATGCACACGTTTTAGGAAGGGAGTGAAGGTGGCTGTTTCCCCGACAGGATTCTGCCACCCCACTATTTATCGATGCCCCGAAATGGCAGAGACATCTGCAAGCAGAGGACCCCGGCACTTCAGGAAGACTGGCTGGTGTCAGGATGGAAACTAGAGGCCTGTGCTATGGCGTTTGTGAAGCCGTAAGAAGCAGACATTCGGTTTGCTCTTGGTTCTTCCGCAACGGAAGGAAGAAACTGGCAGACGGAAGACGACCCCAGCTAGTCACTCCCCGAGGCTCTTCTCATCAGAAACTCCCAACCACCCCATTACGGGGCCCGTTTACGGAAGAGGCAACCAGGGCCCAGTGAGGCTCAGCAACCGTCCAGGGTCACGGGGAGCTAACGTGCGCCAGGACAATTGTGCCTCATGGTCTTCTGGCTCCAATGCCAGGAAGCCATGGGAAGTCTCTCTGGGGACAGAAGGCAGAGACAGAGTAGAGGCCAGCTTCCGGGTTCAGGACAGGCTGCCCCAGGTCAACTGGGATGAGCAGTGAGGGGAGGACGAGGGAGAAGGCAGGTCAGTGTCCTCCCCTTATCCCTGCCGAACGCCCCTTCTCTTCCTGGCTCCTCTCTGTCTTCTGGGAGCTGAAATGGACGTGTCCCAGCAGCTCTCAGGTCAGACATGGTGCAGCCCAAATGGGCGCCCTGACAGGGAAGGGAATCCTGAGGTGAACACATTCCTTGCAAACTGCTTGAGTGCCACATGGCAGCCCTGGGCCCCTGTGGCTGGATGCCCTCCTCAAGGGGAGAAGCACATTCAGGAGAGAACAGCTCAAGGAGGCGACTCCTTTGTTCTCTCTCGCATTTCAAAGCAAACACTTGGAGGAGAAGCAGTGAGTCAATGTGGCCACTTTCACGCTGAGGGACCCAGCTTAGCTGTATAGTGCACGCCTGTCTTCTTCACAAGTACATTAACATGAAAGAAGGACGGGATCCTGCCGCCATTGCTTTGAGAACAGTTCTAAGAGGAAGAGAAAGAGTTGAGCTAGGAAGCCAGCCACAGAGGTTCCAGGACCCGATCAGAAGGTGCCAAGGGGGGGAGGGGGAGTAAAGCAGGTAAACCCTGGGGAGCCTGCTGAGATGCACCTGCCAGCACCCCAGGTTCTTCAGTTAGAGACACCACCAATCATGACTTGATAATGAGGAGTTGTGGCAGCCAACCAATAGGAAACGGCTAAACGGTTTTAGAAAAATCCACAGACACCCTCCCCAGCCCACACCCCCCTCACGACCACTGCAGGGAGAGTGCTAACCCCAGCACAGGCCTCCAGGCAGACAGGGAGGAGCAAGGATGGGTGGGAACTCCACGCACACACGTGGATTCCGAGCCTTCCCGTGTCATGAATGGAGCAGGTGTGTCACTCGGTCCCCAGGGCCCTCTCTGTCCTCCTCCAGACCGGAGCTGACATGAGCTTACAGGGCTGTGGTGACATCTGCACAAAACCGCAGTGACAGCATGAAAAGCCCCCTGATCACAGGCCTATGCCGTGCGGGGTGCCTCCCCCTCTGACTCGGTGTTTCTAAAGTGCAGGAGGCCCCACCGGCATATTGGAGGCACTTCCAGGTGACAAAGGACAGTGAGCTGAATCAGATAATGAGAAAGGGGCTCCTGTGTCAACTGCCTTTTAATTTGTCCTATTACATTGATGAAAAAGTACTGGTTTGAGTCTACTGTGTTTTTAACCCTCTGACAGACAATGGGATCTGGCCGGAAAGTACTAACACAGTTTTAGTTTCATTTCATCTATTGTACGGCTTACTTCTTTCTGTGGCCTTTCATGGAAATCAGGCCTCTCAGCCCTGGCACTGCTGACATGTGGTACTGGATGATTCTCCGTCATGGGCTGTCCTGCCCGTTGCAGGATATTTAACAGCATCCCTGGCCTCTACCCACTAGATGCCAGTAGCATCCTCTTCCCTGAGTTGTGACAATGACAAATGTCCCCAGGCATTGCCCAATGTCCCCTGGGGAGCAAAACTGGCCCAAAGTGAGACCCAACGATATACATTAGCCATACAAATTTCCCTTCAAAATAAATTTACGTTAAAAAAAAGTAAGGTGTTGGAAATAGAAAAACTCTAATAATGGAGGTGATCTCTAGAAGGGCAAAGCTGCGTGCAGGTGGCACGTACGGGAGTGACGTGTCCCTCCCCACACAGCACCAGGCCCTGTCTGGCATGGAGCAAGCCCTTGTGTCTGATGCGTCTCGGTGTGGTGGTTGCTGCTGTTGGGATGCTCAAGCATGAAACTGGCCCAGCTGCCACGCGCTCTCGGCGATGCACCCCACACTGGGAGCACTTACCTTCGGGTTTTCCAGCCTGACCTCTTCGATCACAGCTATGTCGCCACTGCTGCTCTTCAAGCGTTTGGAGCCAAAGGACGCCCTGGGGTCTGAGAAGCTGCTGGTATCCAGGAGGTTCTGTCTGCTGATGGAGCTCCGGCAGGGTTTCTTCTCCTCAGCAGCTGCTGGGGACAAAGACGGATGCTTCTTCAACGGGTGGAGGTGTCCTTTCCACCCACCTGTGGTGAAGGGTAGGACAGAATGAATAAATGCACTGCGGCCTCCTCAGAGGGCAGCGTGAGACGGGCATCGAGGCTTGGTAGCTAGACCAGATCCACCCACACGGGCCAAGGACTCCACATGGTCAGTTTCAAGGCGGGGGCAGTGGACCAAGTGAGCAGTGTGCGGCCCCCCTCTTAGCGGGATACCAGATTTGCACATCTGTCATCAGCGCCACCCTCTGCACGTTTAAAAAACGTCTTCTATGACTAAACTGAAAACCTAAGGGCTTCTTAGGTTGTTGGAGGGATGGGTAAGAGGAGGTTTATGGAATTCCATCCCTTGTATAGTGAAAACACAACCAAACAAACAAAACATCTGCCAAGGAGAAGTGACTGGCGAGCAGCCGGGAGACAGACTACATGACCATCTCCTCCAGACGTATGACGGCGCGATGCAGGGGACACTCACAGGCCCAAGTTAGGACAGCACCAAGGACATCCTCAGGTGTGTGCGGAACTGGACCCGGAGCTGGGCGGGATAGGCAGCAGCTCGGACTGCGGCCCCAGGCCCACCCCAAGCACCTGTACCCTTGGAGGGGGTGGAGTGGTGAGGTTGGGGCCCGAGACCTGTGCTCGATGAGGGTTTCACGTCCCCATGGGACCCTTTGCGTCTCTTCTTTCTGCTGCTGCTGCTGCCCCCCTCCTCCTCGCTGTCCGACTCAGAGAGGAATGTGTCGTCTCCTTCGGGCGGGAGGGACTCCTCGGGCACAGAGGCCAAGCTCACTGTGGTCAGCAACTCATTGCGGGCTTTCTCTCTCTCATACTGCCGGCTGAGGTCACTCTCCTCCGCGAACACGCAGGAGATGTACTTGGTGGTCCGCTGACGCCCTTCGTCCTCCATGAATCCCTGGGGAGATGAGACATGTTTAATTACACCCAGAAGGGGGCGCTGTAACACACAGGCATTCAGGTGGCCCACGGGTCTGCGGGGTCTATTTCCTTAGAATTCCTGGTCTTCTCCATCTTAGCGCCGATGTTCCTCCCCAGCTCTTCCTGCCTCATTCCCCCTCAGGCCTGTTGGAGACAGTTTGTTAAATCACAGTGCTGGATGTGTGTTTGCTCCACGAGACCGTGAGCTCCTTGAGGGCAGGGCCCTAACCTGGTCTCCCACATGGCCCAGTGCCTGGCTCAGGACTAAGCGCGAGAGAAGCAGTTAAAAAGGAGTGTTTGTAAAATCTGACAGTTCAGAACTGTTGTCACAGGCTGGCGAGTCAGAGCCTGGAGGTCACGTGCTCCATTCAGCCACTGCCACGGGGACTGAGGATGAGGTTGTCACCAACCCATGCTCGTTCTATCTTCTAGGGCAGGGAAGAGGGGCTCCCCCGGGGCCCTTCACAGCAAAAAGGGTAACATTTTTATACATCAACCGCATGCCAAGGACAGTGCCACGTGCCCTGCAACCATTAGCTCGACTCTAACACTGCCTCCCAGCAAAAGGGCCAAAAACTTCACAAGACAGTGATGCATAAAGGGCCGAGATAGCAGGTCTGAGCCTGACAGGGGAACACTGGACATACACAGTGAGCCTGCTCGACGCCACCAGGAGCCAGACAAATAACAGAGAGGGGACCTGGGGGGGCCTATGAGCCCTGGGGAGCACCTGCATGGTATGAAGGGAGGAGGTCCCCAAAAGGGAAGGTGCGTCCGTGCTGCCAGGTCTCCTGCTGGCTTTTCAATGCTGACAACTCAGTCAGTTTTCAAACAGTGAAAGCCGACAGAAACCACAGTGAGGGGAGACCTGACAGACCCGCGGGCGGTTCTGGCCCCCGGCCAGCCCTCTGCCTCCCTGACAGCAGGCCCGACTTGTTTCACGGCGGCTGAGGCATTCCTTCACAATCACACGGTGACTGTGGATTGTGGGAGGGCGCGCCATGTTACCTTGACAACTTTGAATCTCTGAAGAAGACGACACAGCATTCTTGCTTCCAGCTTCCCCACGTTCATGGCCACTCGGATTTCAGCCTGGGAAATTCCTTTTGTGCCTCTGCGTTCAACTGTGAGAAACAAAATACTTGAGCCCCGACCTCCGCCAAGGGGCAGGCACATGCTGCACAAGTCAAGTCCACTCGACCCACCTTTTCAAGGTAGACATTTCAGAGCAATGATACCAACCAGCAGAATGAAATGAACGCCTCCTCTCTCCTTCCCTCCCAAGACTCTCTGAACACTTAATGCTAACAGCCATCTTTTCAGTGCTTCCTGTCAGGCTCCTCCATGTCACAACAGTCAATGTTACGTGATCGCTGCTTGTCTGCTACACCCCTGCACCACTTTCTTACCCAGCGGCAGGAAATCGGCCCTTTCCCACGAACGGACTTTTTCAGATAAATGAAATTCACCATTTAAAAAGCATTGATGTAATTTTTTTTTTTTTTAAGGAGTGGCCCATATGGGGATCAAACCGGCAACCTTGGTGTTAGTAGTGCCACGCTCTGACTGAGCTAACTGGTCACCCCTCAACGTGATCTTTCACGAAGAACTTTAAAGGTCTCCCTACCTTCTCGGGGGACCCAGAGACATTATGGCCACCGATGGCTGCATTGTCCTGGGCCCAATGCCAGCCTGCAGGGACCATGTGTGGGAGGGAATGGTGCCACCTGACTGTCTAATGGCCAGCAGGTGGCTGCTCTCTTGTACTTGCTCTGTCCAGTCTGTCAGCTGCCGCCCTGCCACGTTGTCACTGCTCAGTATATTCTTCCATCTCCAAGGAGCCCTTTTAAATCGATTGCACAGCTGGGGCTGGGAACTAGGGAGGAGCCTGGCAGGGGTGGGGGTGAGGTGGCCGCAGCGAGCCCCTTCAGTACAACACACGAGCTGTAGGGCAGACTTGGTGGCAGGAATGGTCCCCCCTGACTTCCTGATTCATGACACACTAAGGCTGCCAGGAAAGACCAATGTGGGTAAAGGAGATTTTGCCATATTGGACATGCAGAAAACTAAACGTCAGAACAAAAAGAGGCGGCTAGCATGTGTTCCCACGCTGAACGAGTAACACACTAACGGTGGAGATGAAAGGGTTAAGGGCAGCTGTTCCCAAACTGTGTTCCGAGGAACCTGGTCTGAGCAATGGTAAGGGTTAAACTGCCAAAGGCCCCCCCAGAAAAGCTGTGCCGACCCGCCCGTGTGTCTCTAGCTGCTGGCTGAGTCAGGTCTGCGGCCACCTCACCTCCACTCTGTCCTCCTGCCCACAGGGACCTGCGGCCACAGCACCCATGGCACCCGGTCACTGCTGTCTTACATCAATTTTAGGGGCTCTAGTGGAAGGGTGAGGAATGAGGGGGCAGGTTTACCCCAGTTTGTCACTGGAATTCTCAGCCTGCAGTGACTCCAGGCCAATGTTAAAAGGTGGCAGGTGGCTCACAAATCTTTGAGTAATAACACTAATCACTAATTTTGAAAGTGCTATCGACATACCAGGCGCTACAACAAATGTCTTCATCCCATTCCTCACTTAGTCCCCATTACATGCTGGGTGGACATGATCCCCATTTTGCAGATGAGGGAACTGAGGCTTGGAGACCTTGCTGAAGTCACAGAGCTAACAAGTGGCAGAGCAAGGACTCAAACCTCAACCGAAAGCCTAAACCCTCCCAGGGAACCACGGTACTCCCCTCTACGTTACATTCTCAAGAGCGAAGACCCCTTGTGACACGCGGGCAAAACACTTCTCAGCTCAAATGCTCAGGACCCATGCGCACAGTGTGAGGAGGGGACCTACTGAGTTCGTAGGTCTGCGTGAGCATGTCCCGCTCGTACACGATGTCCACAGGGGGCACTGCTTTGGAGATGACCTCCTCGTCATCGTCGTCGTCCTGGTCGTCCTCGAACTTCCGTTTAAACCCCTTCAGCATCTTGAGGCAGCGGACCATGATATCAGTCCCTGGGGACACAGCACATGTTATCCAGCAGTGACAGCGTTGTGTGTGTGTGTGGGGGTGACATCAGCAGAAACAGAGCCAGGGGGACTGGGACCCACAGCACCGGGTTTGGGACATTTCAAATGGCATGTCTTGGGGCACAAGGCCTGAACATGTCCAAAAAGCTGCTTTTGGTTTTTAATATAATTAGGGGACCAAGAAATAAAGAGGAATAACGGGGCGTCGTGTTAGTCTGAGGAAGCAGACGACAGCCTCTGCTTGACTCAAGCTCCGTGCCTGTCTTCGCACATTGTCTCCCCAGCCCCCAGAACGGCGCCCACATACGGGAGGCACACGGGTGGTGCTGCCGAGAGAAAGAAACCATCTTTTTCTGAGTGAGCTGATCCCCACTGCTGGCGAGGGGTGGCAGCAGGGCGAATGAGTCCCTGAACCCTCCCCAGACATTTCCCGAGGCCTTTTAACCCAGTGATTCCAAATGTGGGAACTCAGTCCAAGAAAACTGCTCAAAAAGAGGTGAAAGCTGCCACTCTGACAGGTCCACACGGCACTTGGTATAGCACTAGCTTTCGTGAATAATATACTCATAAAACAACAGCGGTGGGGGACTCAGTGGCAGCACCTGGACAAGCCACCGCGTACTGTAGGCTGGTCCCTGCCTTCAAACAATCACATGGCACCTCTACCAACCTCCAAAAGCACAACAGAGGACAAATGACAATGTGTGCCTATGGCTGGAACAAGAGAAAGGGACAAGGAACAGCAAAAACATCTCGACACTTCACATGTAAAAACTCCCTGTATCCTGACAAGCCAGGAAGACACTTTACAGCTGAAGAAACTGAGGTACAGAGGGGACCCTTAACTCACTCCAGCATCCAACAGCTTGCAAGTGACGGGGACAGTGTGACTCAGGCAGGGTCACTGGTCTTCAACGAGTGGGAGAAATGATTCTGAACGAAGGTGTCCTATGACATGTGACTGTGGGCGAAGAATAATTCCCCCCAAGGACGTCCATGCCCTGAGTCCCAGAGCCTGTGAAGATGTCACCTTTTGTGGCAGAAGGAACTGGCAGTGTGATTAAGTTACGGCTTTCGCTGTGGTCGTCAGGATTTTGAGACTAACCTGGATTATCTGATGGGCCCAACGGAATATCAGAAAGTCCTTGGAACAGAGAGGAGGGTCAGAGGGAGAGGCTGGAAGACACGATGCGGCTTTGAAGATGGAGGAAGGGACCCTGAGCCAGTAATGCAGGAAGCTTCAGAAACTGGGAAAGGCCAAGGAACGAATTCTATCCTAGAGCTTCTAGCAGGAATACAGCCCCACCGACAGCTTGATTTGAGCCCCGCGACACCCATTTCAGACTCTGACCTCCAGAACTGTTTTAAGCCATTTGTGTAAGCAGCAGAGCTAGGATCTGAGCCCATGCTGCGTGAAGCTCTCCACCATTCTGCAGTCACCTTTAATGGTGTCAGCAGCACTTGGCACAGTGCAGGGGCACAACAAACATTAGCTGAATTAAAGATAGCTGGTCCCTTCCTGCCAGGTAGGACAGCCCAATAGCCGGCCTAACGTCTCCTGGTGGCCCGGCTCCTGGAGACACCTGGGAACTCACCCCCGCTCTTGTCCTGAGCATGCGGGATCAGGAAGGCCCCTTGGACAGGCAGGCTGTCTGCCGGGGGAGGTGAGGGTGACGCATGGGGACCAGCTGTTCCCTGAGATCACACTGGGCATCGGGCACCCTGGGACAGACAAGGAGCGTGTAACCCAGAGAAGGCCATGTCCTGAGTGGAGGGCGGTCTCAGGCACCCAAGGTCGGGCCAAGTGTGAGGCTGTCGTGTTTCCAGAAGGCCATGGTGTCTGGCCAGGTTTGGGGCTGTGGAGTCTGCGCCGTCCACCCCACAGAGCATAGCTGACTCCTCAGCTGTGAATCCCAACTATGCCGACGTCCTGTGGCCAGCAGACAGGAAACCCTGACCACTCACCCACTCTGTGTCTAGTCTTTCTCAACATACTGTCCGTGGAAACATGTCCCCTTCCCCACGCTGTGTCATTTGCATCTTCACTTTGGAAGATCTCATGTTAGAGAGGCCGTGTGCAAGGTGGTTAAGAATCTAGACCCTTCTGCCAGGGCCAGTGTGTGAACCTGGGCGAGTGGGTGGCCCTCCTTCAGCCTCAGCAGTCTTGACTGTTACCTAGTGCTCCAGACGACCTGTCCCGAGAGGACGGGACGGGATGGCACGAAGTGCAGTCTGTGCTGCCTGACCCCAGGTGACCACGGGGCCTTTGTATCTTTCTCACAGTTCTAGTTTTACCAGCCTCAGAATTTCAAGTTTTATTATTAAAATCCCTTTATCTTACCTTGAATACTTTAATTCTACTATAATTTTTTAAATGTCCCTTTTGTTATTTTAATGATTTTAATTTAGTTTGCTGCACCCTGTTATGGGTTTCTTGTTTATTTTTAAATTTTTAACAGCTTTGTTGAGCTGTAGTTCACGTGCCATAAATTCACCCATTTAAAGTGTACAAGTCCGTGGTTATTTAGTATGTTCACAGGTACGTGTACCTGTCACCAGTGTTAGGACATCATCACCTTTAGTCCTTTAGCTGTCACCCCTCTGCGTCCCCCACCCAGCCTTATGTACTCACAATCGGCTTCCCTATTCTGGACTTCGCTACAAATGGAATCACATAGTCATGGCCTGTTGTGATTGGCTTCTTTCTCTATTGGTCTTGGCATCCCTGTCACAAACTAGTTGACCACAGGTGTGTGGGGTTATTTCTGGGCTCTCAGTTCTCATCCACAGATCTCTGTCCATCCTCTGGTCCGTGCTATGCTGTCTCCATTACTGTGGTTTTGTTTGGATATTGGGGAGTTGGGTCTTCCTGCTTCACTCTTCCTTTTCTGGATTGTTTTAGCTTTCTGGGTCCCTTGCAAGTCCATGTGAATGTCAACGTCTGCAAAGGAGCCTGCTGGGACTCCCAACAGGAATTGCCTTTGAATCTGAAAGTCAGTTAGGGGAGTGCTGCAGCCGCAACAATGTTACTCTAATCCACCTACTGGGCCCGGTTTCTCATCTACTTAGAGCTTAAATTTCCATGAACAATGTTTTACACTTTTCAGACTATACACTTTATTTTGTGTACTTCTTTTGTTACATGGATTCTTAAGTACTTAATTCTTTTTGATGCTATTGTTTTCTTAATTTCATGTTTAGGCTGTTCATTTACAAGTGTATAGAAATACAACTGATGTTGGTACATTCATCTTACTTTCTGCAAATCTGGTTGAACTGTTTATTTTTATTCTTTAAGGGTCACGGTACAACAGCTGTGAAGAGTCCACATCCTAAATAGGGAGGTACAGATGCTAGGACCCCTCCTCCCCAACCCCCTTCAACGTTCTCTGCCTTGTCACTGAACCCAGAAAACCTGCTCAAATGAGCCCTCAGGCAGAAGCCCTAGGGAGCAGGCCTCTGCCAACTGCTACCCACGGTGATCATTCTCTGAGGGATTGATTGTAAAGTTAAGTCCTATTTCTCTTCCCTCCTGTTCTCGGCACAATTTAATACACATGAAATGACTGGTCAACACTTGAAGAAAACAATCCAAATTTGCACAATAGATCAGTTCAGGCTGACTACGCTTGTTACAGAGGTCTTTTTGCTTTTTGGAAACTAGATGGCTGCAGCTTTTCAGAACACCTTTGAAGCATGCTGCCAATCTAAGCTTTTTGTTTCTGGGCTTTTAGAAACAACTCATACATATCTAGGCACCCCTGAACATTTACATAAAGTGATACATCATCTTAATTTATTATTTAAGTCTCATCTACTCCACAGGGCCTTAGAGGGAAGATTTTATGCTAATTTTGCCAACTGGGAGGACGAAGCTCAGGGCAAAAAACAGACTCACACTGCATTCACTGGCATAAGGACCATAGCTGAAGTGGCACCTCATTAAGTTAAAGCTGCTAAACATTTGCTCAGCACCCACTCTCTTCCAAGCAGACCCTGCACAGGTGTTCAGTACACAAAGCATGCGCCACCCTCAAGAAGCTGCCGACCAGCTGGAAAAAAGTCACATAAGTAACTGAGACACCGTGTGACAGGGGATGTGAGCAGCAGAGAGGTGGGTGACAAGGCCACCATGGGAATAAGATGAGGCTCCTGAATAGTTAGCACGGGATGGGGCTCTAAAAATCCTGACTGGCACTGTCTCGGGTGCCTGCTCTCTTAATCCTGCACAACGAGCCGATGTCACCACTCTCCTTGGTGCCCGTGCAGGGCTGAGTCACACTGACCCTCTCTCTCAGAGGGCTCATTTCCCAGCACTAGGCCTCAAGGTAACTAGGAACACTCACTGTGTGACAGGCCCTGGGGGACGGATGCCTTCACGGTCAGGTGGATGACACGCCAGAGTGACGCTGGCCGTGGGCGCCTTTGGAGAATGGGAAGGATTGGCCCCCTGGAAGGGGGGCGGCCTCTCTCTGCCTTAACAACTGCTATTAAGAAACGCTGTTCAAAGGTGCCTCGTTTTACTTTTACAAAGAAGTTGAAAGGCTGACTTTTTAGGTGAAATGTCTGATTTTTAAATGCCAGAAACGAATTCAATGAAAAGAAACACTGAGCCAAACCAAATACATGGTTGGATGTGGCCTCTGCTCTGTGTACCCCGTTTTCTGTCAGCCCCAAACAGTCTGGAACATTGTAATATTATCCCCGATAATCCTGATGAGGAAACTGAGGGACAGAGGTCAAACCTCGCTGATGGTCACCGCGACACAAAGCGACAGAACAAGAATTCCAGCCCAGGGCTGTCTTACATCCACGTCCATCCAGGCATCTTTCCTTTCAAGTGGCTGGTTTGAATTTCCAGAGACCTTGAGCCCAGAGGAAGCTTTGCTCTGTGGCTGCCTGCCCAGCCAGAAAGGTTCTTTAAGGGTACTTCCTTCTTGGGTTCTCCTTACTATAAAAATAACATCACTCATCTTTATTGTGAAGGCCTTTCTTGTAACAGGCCAGGAAGTGAAAATGACGAACAGGTCCCCAGGTCATGACCGTTTGAAGCATAGGGATAATCACACTTCTAAGTCACGTGATGGGTAATCCTTTCACGGTTAAGCTCCCAGCACACCTCTGTTCCTGGAACCTTTTTACTTTGACACAGGACCCAGCAGCGCTTCCTGTCTACCTAAAGGCTGATGTCACCCACTCTTTCCCCGGAGGTCCAGTCATTCAGCTAGTCCTATAATGACTCAGCACTGAAGGGACTCAAAGATGAGGCCTGCTTTGAGGGGCCTCCCAGGTGCACCCTTCTTTGTCTGTGCACCTGTGCATGGTGCTACCTCTTGTGTTTCCCTTCCACAGGACTTTCCTCAGGCACAGGGAAGCCACGTGGGGTGGGCAGTGACTCCACTGAGTGAGGAAATAGAGGAAGAAACAGAGTTGCCTCCGACTGGCATCTCAGAGTCACTCAACAAACACGGTCACCTGCCTCCTGTGGGCGGGGCTAAGTTTGGGGCCTGTCCTCATTGCGCACACAGCCTCCCGAACTGGTCCCCAGAAACTTGCTATGCCCATGGGCCCTAGTCGTTTTGTTCTTGTACACCTTTTGGTTTTCCATGGAGCTAACAACTTTTTTTTTCCCATTTGCTTGGTTTTCTGTGTACGTACCATGAAATTCACGACTCTCTGACAAAGTACAACTCCCACTAGACACACTCACACGCACGAGGCAGCCAGTCCTTCGCAGATTTCCATCCCCCAGAGCCTCCCCTGCTCCTGTCAGACAGGCTGCTCTTGGAGCCCGTCGGCGTGACATCCCTTCGTCACCTCCCCAGGGCTCTCCATGTCCCCCCTGCTTCCTGGACCCCGTGCTTTCCTGCCTCTTGGTTTAGTCTGTCATTTGATGGTGTACATCCCCCTACAGCTTCCTAAAAGGGAGCATGGGAGGCAGGACAGGGATTGTTTCAGATCTGCATTATGAAAATGTCCTCATTCTCACACCTGGTTAATGATGGAGCTGAATAAAGAATTCGAGGTGGAAAGTCTGCTTCCTTCAGAATGCTGATGACCTTGCTTCAAGGTCTTCCAGCATCAGTTGCGACTGGGCAGCCTGACGTCTCCTCCCTGGAGGCTCTTTCTCTCCCGGTCTCCTTCTGAAATCTTGGGATGTTGAATCCTGGTGCGGGATTTCCGTTCATTATGGCGGGCACCTGATAGGTCTTTGGATCTGGAACCTTCGTCCTTCAGATATGGGCCGATTCCTTGTGGCATTTCTCATCCTTTCCCCACTCTAGCCCCCTGGACACACTCCTTCCCTCCCTCTCTGAAGCCCCTGTTGTGTGGACTTTGCACATTTCAGGCTCAGCCTCTTATTTTCAACTTAGTTCTCGTTTCCCATCTCCTTTGAGTTTCTACTCCTTCTGGGACTTTCTCAACTTTATTGTTCTTTCTTCCCTTCCACTACATCTTTTATTGCAATAGTCATATTTCTTTTATTTCCAAGAGCTCTTTTTTCTTTTCTGCATGTCCCTTTCTCGTACCCTCTTGCTGTGGTTCCATGGATGTCACCTCTTCTTTTCTCTGAAGAGTCTTTTTATAAAGTGTCCTTTTGCTCCTAGCTTTGTTTCTATTTCCTAGGTTTGTTTCTCTCCTATTCACACCAGAGATTTCCTCAAAAGTGAAGGGAAGCATTGAAATGCTGCCCCAAGCGCTGTGCTGTAGGTGCTTTGGGAGGCGGGAAGGGGGAAGGGGCAGGTCGCCAGTGAGTAAGCTTCTTTGAAGGGTGAGCAGGCAGAGGCCAGCCATCCTGACAGGGAGCCTCCCAGTTTCAGCATGCAGTGAACTTTCCTCTTGGATGGGTCAGGTTCTGCAGAAAGGAAGCCTCCAGCCTCTGGCCCAGGGGACTGTGAATCCGGCTGTACTGTACAGAGAATGTCACCTACCCCCCCCATTTCCAGCACAGCACCCTTTCCCTGCTGGGTCTCATGGCTGTGAGTCTAGCATCCCTCGGGTGCATCTTGTCTTGGGATATGTCCAAACGAGTGTCTTTGTGGCAAAAGGATCCTCCGGGGCTGAGCACAGAAGTGGGGGCCTGGGGTGCAACAGCCCAGATGAACTCTCCTCTGTCCAGCCCCATCTTCAGCTGTGCTTTCCAAGGTACCTGGACGCTCCCAATTTTCAGCTTATCTTGGGTCTTAGAGGTGCCCGCTCTTGGGTATCGCCCTCACAGGCGTTTAGTTTTCCCAGGCTGCTCAGCCAGTTACCGTGTGTCCACCTGCCTTTGAGCACCAAGATGTCACTGGCGACTCTCTCTGTTGTCGTAGCCTGTCCTTTTCTCCTTGTACCTGTGGATCTACTCCTGGTATATCCCTCACCATTGCCGGAGAGGAATTTAGGACCCTTAGCCTTTTCAATGACTTTGGTTAACATGAGGGGTCAGCAGCATGGGACAAAAGTCAGGAATACAGAAAAATAAAGGACCAAGGAAAATTTTTCAAGTTTTATAGGCCGCTGTCCTTAGCTGAACTTTTTTCAAATCCCATCTCTGCTGCTGACGGATCATTCCATCTTACGTAAGTTACTTGGCATCTCCTAACTTTAATGGTCTCATGTGTAAAATGGTAACACCGTCATCCACCATACAGGGCTACCTAATGGAATCATGCAGCTCAGACCAGGGACTTCAGGGCTTCGTGTATGGAGGACAAGGTAAGCCTACTCTTTGGACACCAGGGGTTTGAGGTTTTAGAGGGACAGCCACATAGAGATGTTTGCCTGAAGTCAGGGTTGTTTTCATTGGGTAAACATTTCCCGAGCACTTTTCCTATAGAAGGCCCTAAGTCAGGCATGGAGGAATAAAGGGCGGAAAATCACGTGAAACCCCTCAGCAGCCAGATGTGATCAGAGAGCCAGGCCCATATTTAGAAGGGGGAGGGGAGGTGCCCTGCAGCCCCGGGAAGGGGGCGGGGCCTGTCTTTACCTTTCTTTGTCTTGCAAGGTCCACATTCAGGATGGATCTCTTGTAAGGGGAGAGTCACCACCTTTGCCAGGCCCGCGTTCACCATGTACTGGTACAGACGCTTAAACGTCCGTTCACACAGCCCCTGCCGAGACAAAGTCAAAGCTGTCAGGTCCAAGCGAGGTGTCTGAACGTACCAAAGAGTCGTGTAAATGGACACAAGCGTGAGACCTGATCTAAATGACTGTCTTGAATGAAGACACATTGGATGTACTGATGGGGAAAGGCTGCTAAGCTGCCGGGTCGAGGCCCGGAGCGGTGGGTTAACAATTCTACCCTTTGATTCCATGAGGGGGAAAGAGGTTTTCCCGGAAGGACATATTGGGGTGAGAGTGAGCCAGAGAGAGGTGGAGACGGAAGGAGGCTTTTCTCTGTGTACCTTTTCATATGTTTTTTTATTTTGTTAATCAAGTGAGTGTTTAATTATTAACACACACACATACCTCCCACAGGCAATAGAATAGAAAAAAAATTAAAAACATTAAAAAAAATTGTAGTCTCTCTGTGCAGTTTCACTGTCCACTCTGTCGCTCATATCTCTGCAAGGTGATACAACCAAAGTGCCATAAAGTACATCTGAGCTGCCGGGATCGCCAACGAGCAGCCCCCAGCACTTCCCGTGCTTGTTCATCTCTCTCTATATATACATTTTTAAAGTAATTTACTTGCCAACATTGACAAGTGAGAGATTTCACATAAAAACCCAGATTCCGACTTCTCTTGAAAAACAAGATCTCGCTTGTTCACGGCAGCGGTCAGCGAGAGCTGAGGACAGCGGCGGCCTCGACAGGAGCGCCGGTCATTGGGGGCTCTTGGGAGGTCACGGCCTTCGCGCTCCCATGAGGTCCTTGCACCGTGAGGAGAGAGGCCAGTTCCCATTTATCACCATGGTCGTGCTGCTTCTCTTACAGCAATTAAAGGAAAATTAAGCATTTCTTGACTCCATGCTGCTATCCATCCCCACTTCTCCACCTGCCCTGTTTCACATGCTTATATTGCCTGCCCTGCCACTGCTGGCATTTGGTTTTGTAAGCCCTGGAGCAGTGAGGCAAGCTGGCACTGCTGTGGGTTACGGACTGAACAACAGGAGGCACTCAGGACCAAGAGCTGTTAGCTGAGTCTTACAGGTTTCCTCTTACATCCGGGGGACAGAGAGGCAGCACCTAGCACGTGTCTGTGGGCCGCGGCCGCCACATATGCGATCAGCTCTCAGACTTGCCAGCGCTCTGGCCATTGGGTGGCAGAGCACATGGCTGTCAGGGAAATGCAGATGAGTCACATATGGCTTATTCAAAGTCACTGGCATCTATCGTTCATCTAGCGGTGCTTCCAGCACTGTGGAAAGTCCCTACGGAGACTCATCCATCAAACCCCAGCCCTCAGCGTACGGTCGTGAGCCCCGGCCCATACTAAGCAAGGGAGGAGGATGTGGTCCTGCCTTTAGGGGGGCGGGGGATTGCAGTCAAGGACTTGTACAATCTGCTCAGTAAAGAGAAGCAGTAGGAGCCTCCCCCACCATCCCCCCAAAGTTAGCATCCATATTCATGGCATCAACCGCATCTACAGGCTCAGGCAGGAGTCACGAAATCCTGCCAACTCTATTTCCAGCTGCCACAGTGAATGTCCCACAAGATCTATATACTCCATATAAAGCCTAACATCAAATTTGTTGTGTATCTCATCCTCCTCCAAACTTGTTCACCTTTCTGTATTCTCTACTTTATTCACACATCCGTTCAAATATTTACTGAGCCTTTCCCATGGGCCAGGTTGTGGTGGTGGTGGTGGTGGTGGTGGTGGGGGCTCAGCAGGGACCAGACATGGTCCCGGCTTCCCAGGGCTCTGCACTGGCCCTTGGGTTCCAGCCCACTTCAGTGAGGGGTGCTCTCCCACGCCACTCTGTATCTTGGTTTTGGTCACTCATTGAGTCCTGCTGGTGTCACCTCCAAAACGTCTCTCCAACACGTCCACCCAGTCGCCCACCCGGCCCGAAATTATGGTGTCTACCTCCCGGCCCCACTTCCCGTCTCTCTTTGGGCCACTGTCTCATTTCCTAAACACTTTTCTCTTCTGGCAACTTCTCCACTTCGAAACTGCCAGCTGCACTTTATCAGGCTAAAGGCTGAGTGACCACTCTGAAGTGCCTGGTACTCAAATCTTTCTTATCTGGCCCCAACTTTCCTTTCCGGTCACTTCTCTTACTACTCTCGCCCGAGCACACTGTCGACCTCTAAAGTCGCACAGCCTCCCCCAACCCCACACCTTGGCTCAAGCCACTCTCCTTCCCTGGAAATGCCATTTCTCCTCCATCTACTTTGGGAAACTTAGCTTTCAAAGCCCAGCTCAGCTGTGACTTGCTCCATAAAGCTTCTGCTAGCGGTCTGCAGAGAGCACGTCTCTCCTTTCCCAGACATCAGATGCGTCTTTCTAAGCAGCATTCAGCCTAAGTAAGTGCGCATTCGTTTCTGCCTCTCCTGTCAGACTGCTTCGTGACAGCATGACACCTGTCATCCTCCTTCATTCTTGTCATCTTAGTGTGGAACGTGGTTCTGACTCACTCCGATTTTCATTGAATGAATGAGTGCAATATGTCCTATAACAGTTAAATCTTGTTGCTTAGTCCACAGTGCTGGCCCAAGAGCAGACTAGCCCGGTCTCCCCGCCCGCACGTGACTCAGTGTCACACAGGGTTTCCGTCTCAAATGTCTGCATGGGCCGGACAAAAAATATAAAAAGAAAAGTGGGCAGATACGTTCATGAAGCATGTAGGAATTGTCTCCATTTCTATTAGGGTCTCTCAAGAAGACGCCTTAACAGTCTACCTTTTATTTTCTACTTTCGATAGAGACTCCGATGGAGAAATAGTTCTCTTTACCACAGACAGCAGTGCATGTGCAGTGACAAACAGCCCTGCCTCTCTGCCTCGGGGTCCAAGAAGTGACAGAAGCAGGGGCCTGGGGGAATGGCCAGCGCACAGCCAGCTCCATCTAACTGTTGTCACCACAGACTGAAGGCCCAGGCTCTCCAGAACTTCTGATATTTCAGGGGAAGCCAGAAACTTTGATAATTTTCTTTTTAATGTGAAATCTCAATTTTTAAAAAATGCTTGGTCAAATTCATTTTCAACAATGTACAGGCCGAATCTGGCCTGCAAGCCTCGGTCTGTCGCCTCTGCTCTAAAGAGACGCAGACATGCAGTGAGTCCAGTAATAGGGAAGACACCCCCTTTCCCCGCAACAGACGTCAGAGGCTAGAGCTTCACCGATGCAGCCAAGGGGGAGATGGACTGTCCTGGCATCTACGATCAGGCTCTAAACCATGTTCCTTTGGGGACTAATTACTGTTACCCCAAATCTTGACTTGAAGTTTTTAGTTCTGTTTAACCTACAGGGCAATTTTGTTTTTCTCCCATTTCGAATGTTGGCTTTTCTCCTCACTTCCACTGACGGTTGTTCAAACCAGACAGGAAGCGGCGAGACCTCTGCGCTCTCTCTCGCATTCTCACTGCCTCTGTTCTTGGGCCCAGAGGTGAAGCGGCTCAGTAACTGCTTTTCTCGTGTCCTCTCACCTCCTTATCGGCCACGTCACTATTATTTCAATATAAAACCACTGGGACCAAAATGACAAGCTTGATGAAAGGAAATCTAAATGCCCAGGTCTAGCACTCCCTATGAATTTTTATAGCGGGTCTTAGAGCAAACCCCAGGGACAGAGCAAAAAGGGTGTAACCTAAGGACTGAGCAATTTGTCCATCTGTAAAACAAAGGAAAATCCCGTTTGTTTCCTGGTCAGGGATTGTCAAGTGCATAGCAGGGCTTTCAAATGTAACTCGCTGGGGCGGCACCTGACCGAGAGCTACCCCTGGGGGACAGGGCGGCTCAGCCCACAGCAGGACGCCAGCGGCTCACCAGCTCCTCGCGCAGCTTTCCTAGCGTCTCCATTTGGTTGCTCTGTGCGCTCAGCACCACCGACAGCTTCTCCATGAGGATGTCATACTTGCTCCTCCTGGAAGAGACACAAAACGGATCATTTCTCCAAACTTAACACCGCCTATTTTTTCAAGGCACAATTTTAACACAATACACCCAACTCTAGAGCCTTGGTCTCAGGTCTCAGAGATCCACCCCTGAACTTCACAGCTGGCGAGCCTAGGGCTCTGAACCGTTTCGTGACACGGCCAAGGGCTCCTAAGTGGGGGCGGTGTACTGACTGGACTTCATGGCTAAAACTCACTGACATGATTCTTTAAAATGCCTTATATTTTGACAGTACTTTAAAGTTTAGGAGGCATCTCACATATTCCCTTATCAATGCCTTGGTAAGGAAGGAAGGGCTGGGGCTATTTCTTCTCTTCACTAGGTCAGGAAGCTGCTCTGATTCTAAACCCCTGGCTCTCCCTCCCATTTTCATTGAGGTGGCTGTCACAACAAAGGCTTCCAAGCTAAAGGCCACCAGAGGAAGCGACTAGTGGAGACAGGGCTCCCTGCTGTGTGGGCCTGCGGGAGGTTGGGGGAGGGGTGCAGGGAGGCACCATGCTGCCTGGAAGCAGAGCTGGGCTTTAGCTGCTCACAGGCCGCTGGGCGGGGAGGACATCCATATGGGAACCGGAGACTGCACCCACTTCTCCATTTTTACTGCCTCCGGATGAATGGAAGAATAAAAAAATGAAGGCAGGCTGTGTATGTACTGTGTAGGAGCTAGAACTGAGCACTGTGTCACGGCCATTTTACAGAAGAGCAAACAGTGGTTCCATGAGGCCAAGTGGCTCTCTGCCCACGTCAAGGGCGAAGCTTTAAATGCAGACCTCGACCTGCCCACAGCAGCCACTCTGTTCTTTGTGGGTCTCAGGCTACACACCAGGTATGAGTTTGGTGATAAAAGTATTATATTCAACCAATGGACAGTAGGACTAAATAATTAAAATGCACATTATCAAAGCATAATTCTCTCTAATGTATTATTTCCCAAACGGGTTTGAAGACAAATTCAGAGTGACATTTTCCTTCCTGGAAATCGTTAGTCAAGTCAGTCTACACACATATATCAAGCACCTTTTTTGGGCCAATCCGTTTTATGCAGCGGGCGCTGGAAACTTTAATAAAATTTATACTTGATCCTGAGGGTTCACCTCACCCCTGGCTGCTGGGTAAAGGGCTAGGCCTCTGTTGTGTGGGGAGGGGAGACTCAGGGTCAGTCCCTGAGGTCCAGGCATGGGCTTGCCCAGTGCTTCCTAACTCCCTGACAGTGCCCGCCTCCAGCAGACAGCACGGTGGCCAGGCACACAGCTCACAGCTGAGGCACCCCAAGGGCCGCATTTCGCATATTGTAGGCCCTGCACCAACTCAAGCCTTTCCCACCTGGTCTTTGTCCCTTCCGCAGAAGGGGTGTGGGGGGGTGGAGTGCAACTGAGACCTCTCTGCAGGGGGGCGGTTCCTATGCCAGGTAACTAGTCACCCCAACAGGGAGGATTAGAGAGTCAGAGACTCACTCCTAAAAATGCTGGTTCTCAGAAAGGAGCGTGCATATTTTATCAGCGTGATGTGTAGATCTGACTACAACACCCAGCTCACCAGTGACATCGTGCACCCTAACGTTCAGCAGAACCTCACCATCTCACCCACAGGCTGATTACGATGGCTGCGTGTCGCAGAAACACACCAATTTTAAACTGATACATTTCACCCTCAACTCTGTCACCATAACAAATCAAATCTGACTTATTTATTTTTATTTTCACACTCCCCCTCAAATGTCACCAAAACATTAACAGTCCCTGTTACTGAGCTGTGGGGTTCAGGCATTTCCCCCCACTTCTTTTCTGTATAATTTCCACGTTTTCTAAACGAGCATGACTTCATTCATAATCAGAAAGAGATAGCGGGGCCGACCGAGTGGTGCAATGGTTGAGAGCTGGCTTGGGACGCCAGAGGGCCCTGGTTCGGATCCCACATATGAGGGCCAGTGACACTGCCCTCTACAGCTAAGATGCTGAACAACAGCTCAACCTGGAGCTGGGCTGCCATGAGTCGCCATCGGGTGTAGCCCGCGTGTAGCCAGCAGCCAGCGACTGATCTGTCTTGCCAGGGAAGAGCGCAATGATGGTGCCAACTTGGGCCAGTGAAGCAACGTCCTCCACAACTAGACTGAAGAACAAATGGACAGCAACTTGTCTGTTCCCCTTCCCCCAATTCCCCAGCGCTGTTCCCATCCCCGCAATTCCCCAATAAAAATCTTTTAAAAAAAGAAAAAAAGAAAGAGATAGCAAATATCTTTTAAAAAAAAGCTATGTCGCATTCTGCTCTGGCCTCTGATTTTTAACAGCAGGATACACGCGGCTGTGATACAAATGGAACAGCGCTTGGAGCCCGCACACACCTGTCCACGTGAAATCGATTTAGGAGCAGGAGGATGGAGTGCTGCTGGAATCCAGAGGGCAACCGGATCACGTGGGACTGCATCGTGATAAGCCCGTTTTTGTTCAGGATTTTCCTGTGATAGTGGAGCTTCCCAGCGTCCACCCTGGAGGAGAGGAAAACTGGGGGTTGTGTCATTTTGCTCTTGGGTTGCTCTCACCCACCCACATAGAGAGCCTCTCGCCAGAGATACATGCCTCCTAGCCAGAGAATCTGCGAGAACAGCCATGCCTGGGAGCAGGCCCCAGGACTCCAGGAGAGGTAGGTGGGGAGAGGGGAGGAGAGGCTGGGGAAAGAGGGCAGGCAGGGATGGCTGGGGTGGGAGACAGGCCGGCGGTTGATCGAATATTAATATAAAGGGGGGAACCAGATACGGCTCTCCAGCCCTGCAGTGGCTGATAGCGAGGGTGACCGCACTTCCTGGTCTGTCACCTGGCCCCCACTTATGCCCATTTCCTTGGCGTCCCTTCCGGTCAGCTCCACCTTCCACTCCCAAAATGTTCGGTTTGGACAATACATTATATAGTCCCCCCAGAGTCTCTTCAAAGAGAAAGCACCGTGCTCCCTGCCACCATGTACTGGGGACTGCCGAGGTGGCAGGGGTCAGAACAGGGAAGACAAGTGAGCGGGCTCCGGCCTGGGGCAGGGCACAGTGATCAGGGGGCCCCATCATTTGAAGGAGAGAAGCAAACCACCCCGTACTTGAAAGCATTGCAGTGCAGGTCTCGCTGCAGCTCCCCCTGCCAGCGGGACCGGCCCAGTCGCTCCAGGATACAGTAGGAGAAGTCGGGGAGTTTCAGGTCGGGATCGCCCTCCGGTCCTATCAGGGCCCGGTAGCGCAGGTCCTGCGAGGCCACGACGACCAGCTTCTTCCGCCACCTGCAATCAGAAGCAACCATATCGAGAAACAACAACTTGAAGAAAATCGAAATACGAAAACACAGAACTTTGGAGAATCACCCTTCTACGTCTTGGAGGACCACAATCCCCTAGTTCAGCATATTTTGGTCTCAGTGCTGCTTGGTGTTCAGGCCAAGTAGAGTCCACGTCGTCCTTTCCCTGCGTCAGGCCCTCCCAGGCCGGGCCGGGCACTCAGCCCCAAACCCAACGCCCTGCGAGGGCCCAGAACATCCCAGACACCATCCACATCCTCGTTTCCAGCCCACAGCAGCCCTGCTGGTCCTGGGACAAGCTGTTTCCTCTGCCCAGCTGCTCTTCCCCAGCGGTAAGTGATGGGGGCCTTCTCATTGTTCAGGTTACTGCTCAGATGTCAACGCCTTAGGCCTCCCTCAAAACAGCACCCACAGTGCAGTCTCTACCTCTGGCCACTTCCTCCTTCTTCACAGCACCTAGCGCTCCACTTTTATTGTTTTGTAGACATTCCTGTCTCTCCCCCTTTCAAACTTCTGTTGAGGTGGACTTGTCCACCAGGACACTCTCAGTGCCTAGAATGATTCTGGGGCATGGTTGGAGCTCTGTGAAGTGAATGAACAAGCCTCCTGAACTGGATGGATAAGGCAAACCTCAGAGTCAAAAACACTGAACTGTGTCATCAGGGAGCCTGCTGCCTGCTGAAGACCAGGCCTTGGACAAGTCCTTAGCTTTTCCCACTGCCGCGGTGTGTGAAAAATCACGCCCAAGAAGAAGGCCGAAGCACCAAGACCCAGACAACAATACTGAGTCCTCCGCTGAGGCCTGACAGGTCCCACCACTTAGGACTAAGGCACCACTGCAGGGCCGTGCTGGAAACCTAAACGCACGTCGTGGGCAGACTGGCCTCTCCATTCACACACCCCTGGGGCCCGCAGAGATCCCACAAGTGTGTGCAGGCAAAGAACCCACCACTCACGCACTTGTTCACTCACTCCTTGGCATCGAGATGTACCTGATTGGAGAAGCTCCCTCTCCTGGGTGAATGAGTCACTGAGGGTCCATATACAGAGGGTGCCAAAAAAATGTATATGCATTTTATAAAAGGAAAAAACTGTATTAAAATTACACTGATGGGAATCACTGAACACCTCTTGCAATTGCAGAAGTCAAACATGACTTGTATTCATCTTTTGTTATCGGTATATATTGAGTACATATTACTTTTTTTTTTTTTTTAAATAGGGGACCAGTGTGTTTTTCTAGGACCCATCAGCTCCAAGTCGAGTCGTTGTTTTCAATCTACCTGTGGAGGGCGCAGCTCAGCACCCCATGTGGGGATTGAACCGGCAACCTTGGTGTTATGAGCCTGCGCTCTAGCCATCTGAGCTAACTGGCCACCCCGAATATTACAATTTTTAATATAGTTTTTTCCTCTCTTAAAATGTGTATACATTTTTCTGGCACCCTCTGTATAAGGCCCACGGGCTTGAGCAAGACCTACTCATCCTAGCCTGTTGCTTACGGACGCCCGACCCCGGGCCCTGACTTCAGTCACATCACTCAGTCTGACTGTTCTCCTCTCACTCACTCCAGTGACTCGCTTCTACCACCACCTGGGCACAAAGGAGAAAGGAGAGGCTGTCTTCACTTTAACTCACCTGCAGCATCCTCACATTATTTGTGACCTACAATTAGCCTTCTGCAGATCGTGCAAGTCTGCACAGTCCATCTTGAACGTGGCTGTGAACACATGTGAGAGACAGCCCACTTCCTGTGTCTGCGTGTCGCAAACCCAGGACCTATGCTCACTTGTCTCACCTCAGTCACATGGGAAGAAGTCAGTTGAGAAAAGGAAATTTGAAAACAGGGGAGCTGACGTGCTGGTTTAAGAATGTCCCCAGGGGCTGGCAGAGTGGCTCAGTTGGTTGAGAGTTGGCTTAAGAGCGCAAGTTCTGAGCAACAGGGCCGCAGGTTCAATTCCCACATGGGCCAGTGAGCTGCGCCCCGAGCTAAGCTGCTGCTGAGATGCCAACAGGTGGCAGGATGGCTCGGCTGGTGAGAGCACATGCTCCTAACAACAAGACTGCCTGTTCGATGGTGGCTACGCCCGCCCGCAACTAAGACTGAACTCGGCACCTTGAGCTGAGCTGCCCCCTGGACGGCTCAGTAGATGGAGAGTACGCTCTTAACAACAAGGCTGCCGGTTCAATTCCCACATGGGATGGTGGCTACACCCACCCGCAACTAAGATTTAACATAGCACCTTGAGTTTAGAGGCCACGAGCTGCTGACGGGCAGCCAGATGGTGACTGGCGCCCTCCACAACAAAGATTGTACAACAACAACTTGACTGGTCCTCCTCCCCAATTCCCCAACACTGTTCCCCTCCCCCAATTCTCCAATTTAAAAAAAAAATGTCCTCAGGCTAGTTTCCGTCCCTCGATTATCCTAAGTTAGCTGAACAACAATTCCCACTAAGCTCAGTCTACAGGCCGGAGTCAGCACACAGGTTATCAAATCCCGATTAAGTGTTATACAAAGTGCTATACCAAGATAAATAAAAATGGTATCTACTTTCAAGGAGCTCACAGTCTACTGAAAGAGAAAGGCAAGAAAATTACTCTATGGTTGACGTGATAGCTGCTCTGACAGACAGCAGCTCTGCTGGCCGAGGCTAGTAAATGACAGGTATGAGGAGCCCCCACTTAAGCCTATGTGAGTGACTACAGCGTATGCATCGTAATTAGGGAAAACTCTCAAGAGAAGGTGATTCTTGAGTTAGCGGTTAAGCCGGGTGGGTGAAGGGTAAGGAAGCAGGATTTGGAAGGTTCCAGAGGCACGAAAGGGCATGCGTGTTCTGGGGGAGCGAGTGGTGTGGCATGGCCAGCAAGTGTGGAGTGTGGTGGGAAGTTAGAAAGCAGAAGGAAGGGATGTGTGAGAGGTCAGCAGGAGTCCACATCCTGAATGGCCTTTCGAAGCCAGGCTGGGGAGTTTAGGTTCCACGGCATAGGCCAGGGGTTATAAGTTCAACATGCAGTTTTGGGAGCTGACTTTGTGCCAAGCATATTCTAGATCCTAGAGATACGGGCCTCAAGAGTGTAGAGTCTGGTGAGGAAAGAGTGACAGACACAACACTTAAGACTGCTTTGGGTACTAAAAAGAGTAATACTTTTTGGGAACCCTTTCTGAGGAGCTGAGTTGAAGGCTGGAGGAGAAGGAGGGGGTGGTGTGGAGAGCTGGGGGAGAAGGGTTAGCACGGGCCATCGCTGTGGGGCAGAACTGCGGCAACACGGGAAGTAAGGCAAGCGGAGGGGCCGAGGTCAGGCAGCTAGGTGGGCACAAGCTAGGTCCTAAGCGCCCGACAGGTGTGGGGGCCTGGGCGGGACATGGCTCATGACGCTGGCCTACGATGTCCGGTAAAAATTCAGATCCACAACAGCTGGACCTTATGATGTTTCAAGAGAAGTGAGAAATCCAGACTTTTAAATACTTGCAATGGAATTAAACGTAAAACAAACAAAACAACATGCTGGTGAAATAAAGTGTTTCGAAATAAAGGGGGCAGATTTGGCCAGTTTGAAACCTCTGCCCCAAGTGACCAGGGTACTACACAATACAGTTCCATCTTAAAACAACAACAAAAAAAAAAACCCTAAAAAGCCAAAACAACCCTCCATGCAATGCAGAGTTAGAAAGAGGAGACGAAAAGAAGGGAGATAGGCAGGAGATGACTGCATTCATCTGAGGCCAAAGGGGGTCTGAGGAGAAGTTAGAAAGTGGACTCCACAGGACTTAGTGGCCAACTAAATACAGAGTTCAGGGAGAGAAGGGGCTCAGAGGGAGTCCCATGTTTATGCCTATGCAGCCAGGTGTATGGGGTACTCTAGACCAGAATAAAGAAACCAAAGAGGGAAGAAAAGGAAGAGAAGGCAGGTTCGGGGTACAGGAAAGAGTGCTGATCTAACTTCTGGGCGAACTGGGTATGAGAGGCAGGATATTGAGATGTCATAGGAGGAAGTCTGGGGAGGGGACAGAGCCCTTGGGAACAGCCAACATTTAAGGGGCGGAAAGAAGTCGGGAGTCTACAAAGGAGCTGGTGAGGATGAGCTAGAAGAACAAAAAAAACAAAACAGAGCAGGAAGCAACAGGGGCCAAACCTTCAATAGTCCGTAATGCCTCCACTGAGGGGTCAAGGAAAGGAAGGGCTTAAACAGTGTCTCATGCTTGTTAATAGGGATCTTAGAGGATGAGATTTTGGAGATAAAGGCAGAAATCAGGACTTCAGTGGGCAGGGGAGGGGAGGGGAGGTGAAGAGGGGAAAGGAGTGAGTGTAGCTACTTCTTCCAAAAAAAAATCATGGCGGGAGGGAGGGAGAGGGAGAGGGAGAGAGAGAGAGAGAAAAAAAATGCGCTAGAGTTACAGGGGATTTGAGGAGGCTCAAATCCTGTTGTAAGAGGGGCCAGTCAAGTGAACGTGCTGAGGACAGAGCAGCAGCAGACAGACAGGCAGAGGCTGAAAATAACCGAGAAAGAGGAACTAACCGACAGGTAAGGAAAGAGCATGAGGGATGGGAGCTGGGCTGGGGAGTGAGCGGGGAGGGGAGGAGAAAAGGAGGAAGACAAGAGCCCCATCTCAGCCCTCAACAGGGCTACCCTTGTTCACTTTTTCTAACCCTAAAACACAGGGCCCGGCTTGGACAGAGAATGAAAGGTACCAAGCCAGGTGGCAGCTGCCTGCTCTGCCCACCTGTGCAAGGACCATGGATGCAAATGGAAAGAAAGGCATCCCCCTTGCCCCCCCACCGAGGAAAATGAGCCCCAACAGGAGTAGAGTGAAGAAGGGAGAGGACGGGCTTAGTGTGGGGATGACACACATTGAGGCTGCAGACCAGTCCTGGGGCTCTGACCACACCGTGACTGCAAAGCGGGAAGAGACCCAGGAGTTTCCCATGGTGCAAATCAGTTACCTGCCGAAGGCTTCCTTCATTGTACAGCGGGGCTCCAAAGACTTCGTCCTGATGTATTTGGTGATGTTTTTCCTCTCCTTAAAGAACCGGCACGAGCCCTGGATGCCGTCCTTATTCTCTAAGATCATATGAATGGGGTAGACATCCTCTACAGGGACAGGGTGGCTCTTGGACTCCAAAATTCCAGTTTCCAAATCGATTTCTTCATACCTAAGGAGGAAAGCGCAAATATGGAACCACCACTCAACCTCAGACACAATACATCGTTCCCATGTTCTGACAACCTCCTGCAGAGATCAGAGAGGGGGTGAGGTAGCCCAGTCTTCCCGCCTTACAAATGCACCAGCAGTGTTCTCTGCCCTGGAAAACAGAGCTTCCCAGGATCCCCCAAACCCACTCCAGGAGCGGGATGCTGGAACCAGAACCACCATACTGGTTCTTCCAAATCTGGGGCCTTGTCACCAAACAACCAGGCTTGGACTTAATGATTCAAGGTTTTCCTCCTTCAGATGTCATCTTTCTATCTCTCCTTAGTTATCTCTCCAGTAATCTTCATCCATTTTTATGGTTTCAAATATCACTTGAACATTAACAATTCTCACCCTTGAATCCTCAATCAATACTGTTTATTTCCCCAAACATCAGTCCTGTCTTCCATTGTCTGCTAAACACCTCAAATTCAGTGAAATCAAAACCAAAGTCATGACTGCCTCGCCCCACCTCCTCTAGGTCCCTCCTTTGTACCACATTCTCCCATTGCCTCTTATCAACCCCAGAGAGACATCTGTTGACTTGTGTTTCTTCTTTTATCCAGGCAGCCAAGTTTTTCAAGCTCTCCTTAGAAATCTTGCTCACATCCTGCACTTGTCTCCTTGAAGCTAAATTCCATACACACGTTTCAACCCTTTCTTCCTTGCTTTCTCTGTGACCTTTGCACTACTTAACCATTCTTAGATCAGCTCTTTCCCAGCTTCCAGTACACCAGTCTGGGCTGCTGCCCTCTTTCTCTCCAGCCTCACCTTCCCAGTCTTCTAATCACACTATCCTCTCGCTCAGGGATGATCCTAGTCAACAGCTTTAAGTACCAGCCTTATGGGCCGAATCCACGTGTCTAGCTTCGTCCCTCCCTCAGACTTGCTTTCATGCCCACGAAGCCAGATGTTTACTAAACAGAATCTCCAATTGCATAACCCAAAGGAACTGCACACACAACGTGTCCCAGAATACTATTCAGCACCTTCCTCACCTCCCCCCAGACACAACCACGTTGCTGCTCTTCTGTGTTCGTACCACAGCGAAGGGTGTCAGGGTTCACCCAGGTGCCCAAACATCAGGAACCAGAGGGCATCACCCTGGATTCCTATTTTTCCTTGTACCCTACATCCAATCAGTCACTAAGTCGTCTTGATTCTTCTTCCCACGGCTTGATTCCACCCCCTCTCCTCTCCACTCTCACCCTCGTTATGGTAAGCTAAACCAGGACTAGCAGTTTGTGATTGGATTACTACAAATCTCTCAACTTCTCTCTTTGCCTCTCTTCTAACCCTCCCTTCAGAGGCTTCCAATTGTTCTTTTGATAAAGTATAAACTCTTTAAGTGGATGAGACCATGGATAAACTCTCCAGTACAGTTTGGTTAAGGACGGAGTGGATTCTGTACCTGGTCTTGTTGGATTCGAATTCTGGGTTATGCCCTCGCTAGCTGATGACCTGGAACAAATTACTTAACCTCTCTGCGCTTCAGGAAAATGATAATAATAATATCTACTTCCCAAAGTCGGTGTAAAAATGAAATATCTTGCTGTATGTCAGGATCTTGGAACAGCCCCAGCTCACAAGCCCATATAAATGTCAACTACTATTCCTCATTCCCTGCCTCCAATTCTACACTTCAACCAAGCTTAACTTACTTCTCTTCCTCCAGACTTTCACATTTAACTGTTCTCTGTCCAGAATACTCGGCCAACTGGTCACCTAAATCCAATTTTTAAGTCTTGCTTTGCAGAATATCACCTCTGGGAACCTCTCCTCTCCCTCACAGTATGGTTTAAAAGCACAGGCTTTGGAGACACAAGGCCTGGGTTCAAATCAACTCAGTCTCTTATAATCTCCATAACTTTGATCAGGTTAGTTAACCTCTCTCTGTTTCCTCCTCTGCAAAATGGGGAAGATTACAGCACCCACCTGATAGGGGCACTGTGGGGACACAGTGAGATTAATATCCGGAAGCTCCCAGAACAGGATCTTCGAATAGTACCAGTCCAATAATAAGCACTTGATAAATGCTATTAATAGCTATTATTATTATTATTATTGCTAAGCTTGTTGTTACGCAGCTCTCTAGTTGCTTTAGGGCCTCTAGTCCAGTACAGAGTGAATGCCCCATAAAGGTTTGTTGAACTCAGCTGTCTTTAATCTTGATCTGAGCTGCCTTCCCACCACAATCCTACCTTCCACTTTACAGGAAATACTGTTTGAAGCTCGAAGAATAGCACCCCCCAAGTCCGCCTCAGCAGCACCCCAAACATACACACGGACATAATGGGACATCATCAGACGACCCCCTAACGCCATCAGACGCCTGGGCCCTGCCAGGCCCGAGGGACCCCAAATAAGCATTACATCGCGCCAACCAACAGCCCCCGGGTTCTCCCTCGGCTCCACTTCCTTCCTTCGCACCCCTCCCGTCAGAACCTGGTCACCTCCCTGCTCTATCAGACCCCTGGCTCTGAGCCCGTCCACCGGCCCGCCCGCAGGGCCAAGCCGCTGACCGGTCCTGGAGGTGGAGGTCGAGTCGCTCCCGAGGCTCCACGTAGAAGCTGATGCCCGGATGTGTGGCCAGAGCCCTCCACAGAAACTCCTGCGTACAGGGTTCCAAAGGCAGCGGGAAGGGCGGCACTCGCGCCTCCAGACGGCTCCACAGCGCGGGCAGACAAAGGCCATCGAGCCCTTCCAGGGCCACCTCATCCAACAATGACTCCAGCGCGTCCATTGCTAGTTCAGTGGGCAGCCCCCAGAGCGCCTGCGCACCGCACCGTCGAGCGCCCCGGTCCAACGCGCCTGCGCACAATGATCAGCCTTTCCCCCCTTCCCCCTCCCCCAAGAGGCGGGTCGGACCCGGTGATCGTAGGAGGAGTTCCATCGCCCCCTGAGTGACGTCACTGCCCTTGGGGGCGGGCTCAGTCCGTGGAGCTCCACCGCCATTGGTTGGAAGCCCCACAGTAACCAGGGGAACTGCAAACAGTACAGAGGCCGCTTCCGGTTTCACACCCGGAACCGCCGCCTCTAGGGATGGACGGTGAGTGTTCGTGGGCCCCTCGGGGAAGGCGGGTAGTTATGGTCCCACCCTCCTGAGGCGCCCCCCCCACCCCCCCAGGAAGAATCCTAGGCCACAGACCCCTGGACCACCCCCCGCCTGACCCAAGGTGGCCTCCAGTCTGAGGAAAAGGAAACCTTGTGGTCCGGACTGGGGAGAAGAAGCGGAGGGGAGTGGTCAGTGTTTGGCGTCTTTGCCAAGTTGCGCTCGTGGTGGAACCGGTACTGGCCGGGGGCTCAATGAACGGGTTTAAGGCGGGAAAGGAAAAGGAGAGGTCTGAAGAGGATCTCGTGTGTCCTAAGATGTGGAACTGTGGGGTATGGGAGTTGCTTTGGGGGTTAGCGTCATATGGGGAGTGAAGTAAGTCACCAGCTGCTGAAAATGGGACTTGGTATGGGGGATAAAGGACACTAGGGAATGCCCTGTGCGCTTCCATGTTAATAATTAGTACCGTTCAGTTCCAGGAACTCTAAACGCCGTCCAGCGACACCTCGCGACGCTTCATAATAGCCCTTTGAGTTGAGTGTTACCCCATTTTACAAAAGAGAAAACTGAAGCTCAGAGAAGTTGAATAACTTGCCCCAAATCGGCCAACCAGCAAGTGGCAGAGTGAGAAAGGAGCGCAGACACATTGTCTCTAGAACTGAATTGTGGAGTTTGAGATTTTTTTTTTCTTTGTTGGGGAACAGCCATGGTCATTGGTTACACATTGCTTTCATGCTACAATGGCATAGTTGATTCTTTTAGGGAGGGCACAGCTCACAGTGGCCCATATGGGGATTGAACCGGCAACTTTGGTGTTATCAGCATGATGCTTTAACCAACTGAGCTAATTTGTCACCCTGAGTTTGAGATTTTCAAGAGCCCTTTCATTCCATATCTTGCAAATGCAGATAACTGCAGGGGCAGTTCAGTGGGTTGAATTGCACTGCGACTGAAAATCAATTTCTTATTTCGGCAGGTTCTCACTTAGCTCCAACCCCTTATTTTCCTGGGGCACTTCTCAGGAAATACCCTGTCGGCCCATCAGTCTGAAGGCCAGATGCAAGCTGTGGACCCCCATGTAGGGGTTCCTGATGAGAATCATGGAATTTGACAATTGGAAGCGATCTAAAAACAGGCTACTCTGATATCTCATTTTGTAGCTGGGGAGGCTGATGTTTAGAGAGATTTGTAGGGCCTGTGCTAGAATCCAGATCATTTTCTTCATTTTACCACTGTCCCTCACTCCTAGGGAATTTGTTCTTTTGTGATATCCACTTAATGCAGTGTGGAAAAACATTTTTTTAATTGAACCATCTTATGTGCTTTTTAAAAGACGTCTTTGCCCTTTGGACTTCCGAGGTTCTATAAAATGTCATTTGCCAGATTGCTGTGTGGAAAGGTCAATGTAATGCAACTATAGAACAACAATTCTCAAATCTCTCTGGTCTTGGGATGCCTTTCTACGCTTACCTCAAAAGAGCTTTGTTTGTATATATTATATCTATGATATTTCCATGTCATAAATTAAGGCTGAGAAAATCTGAAAGCATTCTTTTATCAGTTCATTTAAACATAACAATAAACACATTACTTCTGAACATAAATAATGCTTTTTAATGAAAAACAGCTATTACCACCCCCCACCCCTCCACCCCCTTAGTAGGAAGAGTGGCATTATTTTGCATTGTCTCAAATCTCCTTAATGTCTGGTTTAATAGAAAATAGCTAGAGCCTCATTTCTGCTTCAGCATCCAGACTGTTGTGCTGTTATTTTGGCTTATGTATGTGAAGAAAATCAGGCCTCACAGATATACAGTTAGAAAGGAGTATTTTAATCGCCTTTTCAGAGAACTGTATACATTCATTGATAACTATATCAAAACTTAGCAAGTTGTAGTTCCTTGAAGGTTAGTCACAATGTGGCATCTGAAACCATATTGGTGAACGTTTATATTTTGTTACATTAAAATCCATTGGTCTATCTTGCTCCTCCATTGGATATTTTACCCGTGTATGACTTAATAATCTTAGGCACTGGTCATTTGGAAAATGTTACTTCACTGAGTTGTGCAAACCTTCCAAATGTTGACATTGGAAATTTCATTATACAATATCAAATGGCATATAACTACACAATATCAAAAAAACTACATTCATTCATATCACCACCTATCTTATTTTTTAAAAAAAGAATTTAAGCATTGGAAAGCTAGAAAACTCAAGGTAGTAGAAACAAATTTTCTACTTGTTTTCACTCGAAAGCTTGAATTTTATCATTGGCAACAAATACAGTCACTTGTTTCCTTGAAGTGAAGGGCTCACTTCTTTCATATTTGAAAAAATGTCCGCCAAAACCCAAACCTGAATAACTATAGTTTGTCTGTAACTATAGCTGTTCTTTCAAGTAAAAATGACATTCTATATAATATGTGGCTAGTTCAGTTGGCAACTCAAATAATCACACAGGTGTTTTCTGGGGAATACTTTATGTGTACTTTCCACTTTTCCACACAGAGTAAATTAAAAATGTGTACTCATGTGCCTAGATTTAATACAATTATTTTTTCCTGTTCCATCAGGACATTCTTAAGTGAAAATGATTTCTTGTTTGTTTTATTGTGAGTACATGTCAATAAAGAACATAACAACTACTAGTACAGTTTGGTGCCACTGCCTGTAGCCACTTAGGCTACAAGCAGTTTTACCTGCTGTTGCTTTTGCATCATCATTGCAAATATCAACACAGTGAAAAAGTCTTAGAATTGTGATAAAAATAGTTTTGTCCTTGAGAGCCCCTCTTTCTCATAGGATCTGCAGAATATACTTTGAGGAACAGTGCTGTAGACCATTTTTCAAGAAGTCTCCTTAGTCCCATCTAATTGTTATCTCAGCTCTCTTAGAGCATTGGTATGGCCCAATGGAGGAAACCGTTCATTTTCAGATTGGTTACAAAAAAGGAAAATTTTTTTTTTTTAAGAAAGAATTTGCCCTAAGGTTCAATTTAACACTCAAAAGTGTCTCTTTTTGTATTTCAATTTTTAAAACTTTGAGTTATACACTATTTTATAGGCATATATCGGGTAAAGTAATGCATACCCTAATAAACCATGATTCTAGCCAACTAGATAAGGCAACCTGGCCTTATTGGAAAGATGTTTACTTCCAAAAATCATAAAAGTTAAATGTCCACCAAGCATCGCCAAACTGGATTGTAGTTTGGTTTATTCGACACGTCCAAATCACCATAGCTTTTCATGACATTTTTCCTGGCCCGTTGTTTTGACTTTGGGCAGATTTTATCTGGCTCTGTGATGCAGTATGACGTAATGCTGATAAGTTTGGGGAGCCATATAGCCACCCTGGATTTGAATCTCAGCTGTGTGTTCTGACCTCTCTGAGCCTCAGCTTTCCTGTCCATAAAATGGAGATGATGATGAAACTTATTATGTTTTGTTTGGTGATCCATTGGTGAATCCATCATTGTGAATTCAGTGAAGCTGCATGAATGCACTGAACACCAGGTCTAGCATACGAGGTCTGATGATTAAGTTCGCGAACTCTTTTGGAAAAAGTGCTACATACCTCATTGCTGAATATCACTACGGTCACCTTCAAAGCACCCCTTGGGAAGCTATGCACCGATGCCAACGCCTAGTCCACCCTTTAAAGCAATTTTGGAACTCTTTTTCTGGAATGGCCATCAGAGCTGTCGTCGTATTACCCTTGATGTCCTGAATGTCATCAAAATGTCTTCCTTTCAATATTTCCTTTATCTTCTGGTAAAGGAAAGACGTCATTGGGGGCCAGATCAGACGAGTAAGGAGGGTGTTCCAATACAGTTCTTTGTTTACTGGCTAAAAATTCCTTCACAGACAGTGCCGTGTGAGCTGGTGTATTGTCGTGATGCAAGAGCCATGAATTGGCGAAAAGTTCAGGTCATCTAACTTTTTATTTTTTTTTAAGATTTTATTGGCGAATTGGGGGAGGGAACAGCTTTGGGGAATCGGGGGAGGGGAACAGACAAGTCGCTGTCCTTTTGTTCTTCAGTCTAGTTGTGGAGGATGCCGCCCCACCGGCCCATGTTGGCACTATGATCACTGCGCTCTTCCCGGCTGAGGCAGATCGGTTGCTGGCCATCGGACAGCTGCTCACGGCGGCTCTTGGCAGCTCACGCCGGCTATCAGCCACTCACGGTAGCCCTCTGCAACAGGGGCTGCAGCCTACGCCATCGCTGGTGACCCACAGCAGCCCAGCCCCAGATCGAGCTGTTGTTCACCATCTTAGCTGTAGAGGGCACAGTGTCACTGGCCCATGTGGGATCCGAACTGGCAGCCCTGCTGCTCCGAGCACGTGCCCCCAAGCCAACTCTCAACCAACAAGCCACTTGGCCTTCCCTCATCTAACTTTTTCATGCAACCTTTTCAGCACTTCCAAATAGTAAACTTGATTAACAGTTTGTCCAGTTGGTACAAATTCATAATGAATAATCCCTCTGATATCAGAAAAAGGTTAGCAACATTATTGCAACAAGTTCCTGAACTTAATTGTCAGACCTTGTATAAAAGTGCTCCTACATGGTAGCTAACTGTCATTATCTGCAAATGGGGCACACTTCCTCTACTGCTGACAGATGAGGGAGGAGGGAATCTGATTAAGCTCTCTAGCAAATAATAATATTTGTAATTACAAAGCTTTGTGAGCTTTGTAATTACAAAGATCACTCTTTGTGTAAAAGAAAAACCAGTGTTTGACACTTTTTATTTTCATCAAGGTAAGCTGGCAATGTGTGAGTCTTCCGCTTGTGGACATGCTCGCCTTTCTGTTAAAGTCAGATTTCCTCCAGTGCTTTTAAAAATGTGACATGGTTTAGAAAAAAATTTCTCCTCGATTTTCAAGGAACGTAATAATTAGACAAAAGGTCAGTACATCAGTATAATTAGAAAGGATTTGAAAGCTGCTCATTTGCTTTTGCTCCTCCCAAGAGCAAATATTTAACA